CCCGCCACGAGAAGGCAGTGGGTAGGACTTCCCTGAGAATTGCTGGATCTCTCAACTATTCTTATATACTTGAATTATCAGTTGATTGTTTTCTTAAGTGAAACATCTATGCAGATAAAGACTTTGATAAGGATTAAATTATCTATCTACTAAGATGAAGAATAATAAGAATAAATTAATATACACAATAGATTATCAAATCCCTTTAATGCTTAACCGTTTATCTTCAGTTACTTTACTTATGCCTGTTACTCCTCATGAAGGAGCATAGACTGCCTACCGGCATTCTCCATACAACCTTGTCCCGGACAATCCTTTCCAGTTGCTATTCATCCTTTTCATGTCTGTGTTCTTTGGCATTCCTCCTTTCAGTTTCCCCTCATGATTTCAAGTCAGTGCTTGCCTCGTCATGCAGTTTGGTGATTTTCGTAATGTACGTCCTATCCACTACCATCGTCTATTTCTAATTTCCTACTCAGCTGGAAGTTGGTTTGTTCTCTACCATAGTAGACTGTTGTTGATGGTACCTAGTCAATAGGACATTCAGTATCTCGTGTAGACAATTGTTTATAAATACTTTTACCTTTTTGATGATTGTTGTAATAGTTCTCCACGTTTCAACTCTGTATAGTGGAACTGTCTTCTAACTTTGATTATCTAAATATTGTTACTTTATTCATTATTTTGAAAATAAATATCTCAAATGATTGTGTTTACCAATAGTTCTTAATTGAAGTATCTGTATTTATGTTTAGGTCTAATTAGTTTGAAGTTGAAATCTGAAACTACTTTCAACTTTCATGGTTGTAAATGCTGTACTAAGCACACAAATACACATTCTAATCACTGCAAACTGATCACTGTGATTTGTATTGTTGTTGAAAAATCGATGTTTTGTTACTATCTAAATCTATTTTTTTTATCTAACTAAATCACAAAGTTCATATTGACAAACGAAACAGTAATATATCTGTTTCTTTGTAATTAATAAGCCATCATTAAGAATAAAATAGAATACTCTTAGTTTTGTGTAGTGAAATAGTTATCAACAATAGAATTGAATAATCGTCGCTCTGTATCTTAATTTGATTGAGTTTGAAATGGTAAAATTGAAAGCCAATCATATGATTCTAATAGTTAAACATTGCTCTTGGGACGTAAAGATCCTGGATTGGGTCCCTGCCAAGGTCTTGGGTATTCGTTGCTGAAAAGTCTCATATTAGGACGAAATAGCTTTTCAATTGTTCCTGACTTTTAATAGTACTCAGAATGAGATCAATCCGTAATTAATCCAACCGACAAATTAAACCAAAGTCCTTGACACCTCTTTAACTAAATTATTGAAATAAATTCTCAGTATTCCTTGGTAAATTACCTTAAGATTCCAATGAGAAGTCATGAATATAGTATGTTAAGTAATTTGCTTTACAGCAGTAGTAACATCAACTCTGCGATGTAGGTACATCCAGCTGACGAGTCCCATCCACCATCCATCTCTGCTGATAATGCTTGTGATTTAGGGCAATATCGAAACAATCCTCACAGGATGCACATATGCTAATAAGAGACTGACCAATTTCAGTCCTAAACATCAATGAGAAGATTCAATCAACCAATACAAAAAATGAAGTAGTAACATGTGTTAACAAATGAAAGAAGTTATCAGGTGTGTGGTAAGGAGTTAGTGAATTGTAAATCCATGAGTTATGGCCCCTACATCAATCATGAGTTCAATCTTCTGAAAAATCTTCATAAACACAAATATTTATGGAATTTTTCTACTCTAGGTATCATCAGATTTTCATCAACACCGTAGCAGTTCTTTTTAACCCATTTATCTAATTTATACATGATTTTAAGTTCATCTAATCACATGTTTATTGTATAGTAGGATGTGTTTGAATGATCCAAACAGTTTACTTGGAGCAGTATCTCAGTGGTTAGGGTATTCAACTTTCAACCATTTACTCACAGTTTCCAACTCACGTGCTATCTTCTTCGGCTAAAGTACCCGGATTGTATCACTAGCCTTTACACTTGATATGTGACTCAGAGGCAAATATAGGAATCTCAGGGTAATTTTTAAGCTTTCATAGAAACTGGTATATTTTTTCGATTCTCATTAAGTGCACAGTCATTGTACGTCGTAGTCACTAATGTATACTCGATAAATGATAAAGTTATGGATTTCACTCCATATTAAATATACAAGAGAACAGCTGCATATAAACGTCGACTAAGTTTAGTTTGTTTATTCTTACTCATCCATTCTTTTGAAGAAAATTATGTCAAAAGTGAAACTACTTGAGTTGTTGTGCATTATGTAATGATAATGATCTAAGTAACTAAGTTTTATCACAGTTCATCCCGTGCTTATCAATAACGAATTATGCGCGATGATACATGTAAGCAGTGGTTTTGTCAGTACGAAGTTCAAATATTTTCTTTAGTCTTGTATCACGGACTAACTTTATTTAGGATATCACTGAGAACTAGTAAGCACTTAATGGCTATTTCGTCCTAGTATGGAAATTCTCAGAAGCGCACATCCACGATCCAATTTAGAGATCGAACGTAGGACCTATAATCTTCTGGACGAATATTTGACTTTAAGACCATCAAATTTACATCCATCGTTCTACATTTCTAACTTCAATGATCTGAGCGAAACTTGGCTCGTGTTTCACCATACAGTTTCCTGTTGATTTTACAAGATCTGTACAATATATATAGCTAGTAATCTTTGACATAAAAACAATAAAAATAAGCGAAAAATGTGGTTTCTAATGAGTTCCTCATTAATTGAATATACACGAATAATAATATACATAAATATTGATATGGGTATATGAATATATTAAACCAATCAAAACAATTAGTGAATCAGTGATAATGACGAAATAGAGTACGTAACTAAACATCAGTAGTGAAAAGTACATATCGATAGTGTGATGACCGTTACTGTTAGCATTGACTCATCAACTACCTTGATTGGTTCAACATTTTCATGCATTAGTATAAATATTCATGTATATTAAACTCTGATGAGGATCTAATTGAAAACAATATTTCTCATATTTTTTATTTGAGTCAGTATGGATAATATAGGTCATCTCGATATACTGTGGTGTGTGCTACTTATATAGACATAAGTAGTATATGAAGTTAGTCGTGAACAGAATATCTGGCAGCAGAGAGACAAGAAGATCGAACAGTAAATAATGAAAACAGAATGCAATTTGTATGCAAATGCAAGAACAATGAAGTCTGGGTCATTTTGAGACAAGTTATGGACATTTTGCAAATTGAGCATTTACTATATGGTTGTTAGATTTTATTAACAAGTTCTGTAATTGGTTGCCAAATACATTCGACTGTCCCCCGCTTGTGTTCGTGTTCACTTCAATACTACGACACTCAGTCTACTATATTACATTTTGATCATAATTTCATCTTTATCATTGTAATAGACAAAGTACTATTTGCATTAAATGAAAATTCATACTAATTCTATTATTCATTTATTTATAACTAATGAAATCCCCCAAACAATAAGCCGTGATCAAATACTGATTTATTTTCACCGTATGAGCTTCGTAATATGATGAATTTGGCATCCACTCCATGTTATCTAGTTGTTTAATAGGTGCTATGCTAACTAGGTATTCAATTAAGATTATTGAATCACTATTACTGTCCATCATTGGTCATAATTCGACATTTTCATGTTTGTAGTATAAAAGTTGCTCTGTGTAGTAGACAAAATGATGATCAATTGAATCGTTTTATCCACCCCCACAATTGAGTTATAGCCCATAGTCGACGATCTCCTATATACATTTGATTAGTTGTACTTTAGGAAATTGTTGATGGTCATGTATAATTCCCTGAAAAGATCTCCAGAAGCCGGGCAAAATATCGTTAATTCTTTGCGTAATCAACATTCTTTGAAAGCTTCCGTAAAAAGTTTAATGTATAACTCATTATGTTTTACCCAAATCTGGTTGAGAAATCTCCACATGTGTTATTAATTTCAATCTATGTTCTCCAAGTACCCTACAATTTGAGGATTGCTTATATGTACCATTGTTTTCCCTATAAAAATTGTCTTTTGAAGGAGAAACCTTTTTGAATATTTTCCACTCTTACGATTTCCATTCAAAGGTTAAGTATCGAAGATTATCCTTTTGAGTGCCTAAACTAGTGATAGAGAATGAAGTAATTGACCACGTCGGATGCTTTGCTTATCATCAACCTTAATAGAATAATATCTGAAAAAATGTCGGCATGAATCATAACTGATCAAAGACTGTTACATTCTAAGGATCAGCTAAGAAATCAATCCATAAGAAGAAGAGGTTGATGTATCCCAGATATATTTTTTTAAAAAACACACACGAAATTATATTTTAAACACTAAATGTTGTAATATCAGATCATATAAACGTTAAAATAAATAAATAAAATGGCAAACTATTTTCTATATTTCACTGTATATTAATCATTTAAGCAAAAATCTCAATGAATATTTACCATAATCATCATCAGCAGCAGTATCAGTATCCTCATATATAGAAATGTAGGTAATTGTAATTTGTATAAGTAACTACTGTATTGTCAAATTGGCTTAATTTTGTAAATCTGTTTATCTCATATATTTGTTTTGTATGGTATATCTTTTCTATTCCTGTCCTCTATGGAATTACATCGTTAGTTATATGCACATAGTCTACTATCATCTACGTTTGATGTTGGCAAGCTTATTAGTCTACTACTACTATTATTACCAATATTATTATTATTATTACTATTAATTATTATTATTATTATGTATCCCCCAAAGTTTATTTACGGTTTTGTTTACAACTTTTCCTATGTTATTTTGTATTATTTTATAGAGGAGTTAATTATTTCTGTTTTAAATAAAGTATTTTCATCAGTTTTTCTCCTCATTTGTTTTTGCACTCACTCACTCTCTCTCTCTCTCTCTTTCTATTTAGACAACAAATACTCGTAAATTAAGTATTGGTCATTTATTTCATTTAATTTCATTGGATGAAGATTCAATTGGTGTGACAAGTTATCGGTTCGTTGAGAATAATTGTTTTTTTGTTGTTGTTTATTTCTTTCTTATTATATCATACTTATTCCCTTTTATTTACTAATAACAATAATAATAATTATAATTATTACCATTTGGTTATCTTTTTCACTGTTCGTGCAACTTATTAGCTAGTGGTATTATTATATTTATCTAGTTGTTATTAATAAAGGTAAATTTTCCCATCTGACTAACAGTAGTCATAGTGGTGAGTAGGATTAGGTAATAGGTTTGAATCCTCAAATCAGCTAATTTAGTTCAAGTAACTGGGTAAGTTGGATAGTTTTACTGATGAATCTTTCATTGTCTTTCTAGACGCCATCATCAATACAATCTTCTAAGGAGTCCCACAATAGGACGAAACCGCCGTCCAGTACTTCCAGGTTTCCCATGGTGGTCTATCTTCAATTGACTCGTGATCTCAACTATTGAAATTACAATCTTTTGTGTTTAAAGAACACAATTTTATTATATATATATATATATATATATATATATATATATATATATATATATATCACAAATTGATCTGTGAAACAGTGGCTTAGTGATCAAAGTGTTTGACTTCCAACTCTTAGTCCACGATTTCTGGTCCTTCTACACCTAATCAGTTTAGGCAGTTGGACGATATCACTATTCCGCATACATGAAGTGAGGCTCAACTAGCAAATAAGTTATGTGTACAGATTGACTAAAGCTAAACATATCGACTATTATATATCGTTTTAATAGTATCATAGCTTGACTTCATAGTTTGATTCTATATGTCACTGTAGCCTCCCATTCCTCTATGATACCTTAGTCTGGAATGAAAGAACTGTCCAATATTCTCTGCATCTCCCTGTTGATTTGAATAAAAAAATGAATGAGTAAATAATTTTCGAATGCTTTTTTTTAAATATAGTAAATATCTCGTTTGTTTTTTTGTTCATCTTTATTTTAGGGAAATAGATAAACTTATTAAAATCACTTATTCATATGCATTACAAGTTCCAGATGCAAAATCTTATGTATCATTACACACTAATTTTACAAGTGATTCAACAGTCATCTTGAATTGGAATTATCTGGATAATTATTTATGTAATCGTGGGATTAGTGATTCATTTCGACTACTCCCGGTAACTAATATACATCATATTTTGCTTGTCTATGTATATTTCCATTTTAATTTGTTATTATTTCTTGTTTATTTTCCTGATTTAAGAATCACTTGAATTTTACTTTAACTTAATCTATGCAAAGAGCAAGAAATGTATAGTTTCAATGAATATTTTCTGTTGTTATCGTCTTGTTTGAGGATAATATTGTCAGCACTTAATTCAAACAGAAATAAACCAATTCGGGCCTCTTATAACAGTAGCTTACTGGCTGATATACCTGGCTTTCAATCAGATAGTTAAAGATTTGAGTTTTACTCCACTTCAGTTTTGTTACCCCGGTTGTATCATCAGTCAACAGATATGATGTTTGGTCTAAAACCATATACACAACCCTCGTACTGAGGTTTGTCCATTCTGTTAAACAAATATTATTAGTATAAGATCGAATAATGGTTCTGCAATATGGGACGATTGATAAATGTTGAAAATATGAACCACTGAATTCCATCAGATGAGATAATATAAATTTAACATGCTTTCTATTCTTAAGTGTGAAGGCGATTGGGCTTGATTCTAAGTTGGTTGAGTTTCTCTAACGCTTATCCAAATGATATCAGTTCGTGATGTAATAGCTAACTTTAAACAGAACATTCTCTATGAGTCCAGTATTACACCAATAATGATAATAATACCATGATATGCTTGGTATAAGTGTTTAATTATAGATAGGATGACTTTCGTTTCCTTGATCTTTAGATTTACTGCTATTTAATACAATATAAGATTCGTCTATAATAACTAATGTAAAAAAATGTTGCAGTTAATTATATCATTCCTAATACAATAGTATTGTTTATAGTCTCTGAACGGATACGTTATCAAAATGCTAATTTTATAGAACATATCAATCGATAATGTTATCAAAGCACATAAGTCTCAAATGTCTATCCATTAGCTACTTCAACTTATTATACTGTTATGAATATTATTAGGTGAAAAAAGTAGTTGAGAATGGTCAGATCAAAACAGTTCAAAAAATTACGTTGATTATTTATTTGAACTACGCATACATTTGAAGACATTCTAACCCCGTAGCCTATGAATAACTTTGCTTAAACGCTCTTCTGTCCTCTAAGGTTTAATCTTATTCTTTATCTTAAAATCGAATAGTCCTTCATCTCATATCTTTTTATTCTATCTTTTCGAACCATATTCTCCTTGCTTATTCTCGCTTATTGATCATTGCTCCTAGATTATTTTAATTTCTTTACTATCCATCTTTTTAAGTTCATTTTATCATGCTAATGATCATTTGTACCATTACACATTCATACCAAGTTGTATGTTGATCATGAATCGAGTTTTTTTCTCATCCATGTTTTAATCAACCATTATTACTATTATTATTAATGACAATGTTCATGTTTTTCCTGCCTTTCTGCATGTTATGTGCTAATGTAAAACTGTACAAGAACTTAAAATGACAAATAAATAGCTTAGGTCCGACTGAAGTCTTCGTTCACTTCAGTAGGACCTAAACTAGTTATTTGTCAGTTTAAGTTGTTGTACAGTTTTACATTAGTATATATATACATATATATATATATATACAGAACGCACTCTAATTTGCTGGTATTGTTAGGTTAATACAGAAAGGAGAGAGTATTTAAAACCATTATTGGCCTATATCATATGAACAGACGCTATTCATAAATTATTTCTTGGCGTTTATTTATGACATCGCTGTTAATAATGTGGAAGTATACGATATATACAAATTACATAATTAGAGGTGGCATCATTTTAAGGTAAAGTGTTATTCATCAAATACACATACCATGATAACCATAAATATTTTATTACAAGCTATTTTACAATGTGTCTGCTATAAAATAAACTTGAAATTAGCAAAACTTGTTCACACTACAAGCTGTCATCGGTTGAAAATCCACTTCAAACTATTATAAGTGCATTGAACAACTGTTTTTTTTTGTTGTTAGGAGACCTAATAACTTCTCGAACATGTTTTCGGAGACACCAGACGGATCGAATCTGTCGGGGAGCTCCAGTTCCCTCAAGATTACAGGTACACCTTGCTGACGAGTGCCAAGTAGCACGAAACCCGGGTCCAGGGTTTCCTGTTGACTACCTCCAACCACCATCTAATCTCAACATAGTACACGCAGTGTCGAGTCACCTAGACTTATGGCCCCGTTGCAACATGGTCAATAGCATTCGATCTGCACTAATAAGGACTTGACACACATGACATTGATCACCACCCAGTGATCAATCAATTGTGACACCAGGAAAATGTTGTAAATGCGTTTACAAGTTAATATTCATTAGAAAGTTCGTGGTTTAGTTTAGGAAACTACTTATTGTGTTTCCACTATCTAGATCTGACATTTATTGATTATCTTACCAATTTTAGAATGTTTCCAGAAGTTTTTATTATTTCAAAGTCACAATCGATTGTATAAATACTTTTTTTTCTGTACATAAACTAACCTTGAACGTAAAGCTTCTTTCCATATTATCGTTCAGATTTAAAGTGTGGGTGATTCTAGTGGACTAGTAGGCAACTAAAAAGTTATTAAATAAACATTGGTTCAGTGAAGAGTTCTCCTTTTCGGCGAATTCATTTTCAAAGCTGTACAATCGCAAATATCTATACTTATTAATTCATGATAATAATTACAATATTCGTGACAAAATTCTGATAACAGTGAGATAAAACAAACAAAGGCATTAAAACTTTACTTTTTTATCAGGGAAAATTATAATAATTTTACTAGGATTCCTAAGCAGTACGCATCTACGAAACGGCCGTCCAGTGTTTCCAGGTTTCCCATGGTGGTCTAGCTTTAATTGACTCATGAATTCAACTATTGAATTACTATAATCTCCACAAAACCCCTTTCTGATAATAATTTTATTGTTAAGGGCTTGAATATTCATCATTAAGATAAATAGGGTACTTATACTTGGAAAAGGATGGCTCAGCATGATAAGATAAAATGTTGAGATTGAGATAAAATATAATCAAAAGGATCATAGAAACAAAAATAAACCAATTAGGGGTAAAAGGTCTATGGAATAGATATGAGGTGAAGCAGATGGCCGTAAAGGAAGAAAGGTATAAAGAAGAGAGAAAATTATGGGACATTAAAGCCATTGTAGAAGAAGAGTTTGTGCCAATTTCTTTTGTACACACAATTCTAGTTTTCTCAAATGTATAGCTATTGCTTCGGAAATGTTAAGAAGAACGACCTATATACCTGGCTCCACATGAACAAGTAAATGCACATAGATTTGGTCAGTTGAGATAATTTATCTTTAGGATTATTGATGAACAATGATCTGCTGGAGAACACTATTCGCAATGTCGCTGCGAAGAGTGATCTTTTTAGAGACTCGGAAATTCTCCTTGTTAGGACGTTTGTAGCTCTATCTCCCTTAAAGTCGATGTTCACATAAAGCTTTTTCTTTTCAACCGAGGTCATTTGTTCTTTAGGCGGTTTAAGTTTTATATTATTGCCAACAAATATCGAAGAATATCCATTTTTGATAAGGATTTCTTTTAAGAGTCTCAGTTAGTCATCTATGACGTCGGGATTACAAATTCTTCGTATTCAAGTAGCGACTGATATTATTAGATTTTGCTTTCGACTAATGAAGACCCAGCTGTCTAAACTTGACAGTTGATCATCACACAAGGGTTCCCTGTAGATGGATCTTACAGTTCCGTCATATTTTCTAGTCATTTCTACATCAAGAAAGTGAATATTTTGTTTGTTTACAACTTCAACTGTGAAATTTATTGATAGATGACTTATTAAATCCCTCTAAAAGATGACTCAAATCATATTTGTTGTCACAAATGATAAAAATATCATCAACGTACCTTTTATACAAGTGGAAATTGTCGATAGTCGTTTGAAGTTGGTTATTTTCTAGACTGGTCATGAAGCAATCTGCTAGTAAAGGACCAAGAAGTATCTCATGGTTATATCTTTAACAACAAAACTATTATTAGTTTCCCTGACTAAAAAATATTGTTTTTAATACTTTTGTTTGTTCTATTTCGCTTTACCATGTTTAACAGAATTCTGTTATCACTATTACTGTACTTATTATCATTCTGAAAAAAATAGGTATATATATATATATATATATATATATATATATATATATATATATATTTGCAATTGTACAACTTTGAAAATGAATTTGCCGAAAAGAGAACTCTTCACTATACCATTGCTTTTTATTGGGTATATTCCATTTACTTAAACATTTTTTATCAAGCAACTGAAATTAGCACAGACAGAGCTGTGAATCATGATCTTGGGAATGAGGTGTAGGATTAATTGATGAAGATATTTACTTCGAAGAAACATCTGATGTCACAGTTTCATGTGATAAAACGAAGACACCAGGTTTATATTCCATTAATTTATCTCAATATGCAGAACCTATATACATAACTCGTTCGGATCGACGTTTCTCAGTTCTTTTAGAGTTGATCCTTATTATTCACATTTCGGGTTAAGCTTTGAATGTCCGCTTTTGCGTTAACTTCGTTTGAAACCTACTTCTCATATACAGGGAGTACAATAGCCTGGTTTTTTTTAGTAAGAACTAATGATACCACTCCAATACCTTAACTGAATTTTCTGTGAAGAGCTTCGGATCTCCTACTTATTAATTGAAAACGGAGTCCTTAAACCAATATACTATCATGTCATAATATGTCCATAAAATAGATTGACCACTTCCTTTTCTGACTGAAATAAGATGTTAACGTTTATATGAAGAGAAAGTCCAATTCAGTTAAATTAATGGATCATAAGGGGAAGCACGGAATACAATGGACAGCTTGGATGCAACTAGATGATTTGGACTTGACAGATGACCTAGCTCTTCTATCCCATACACATCAACAAATGCAGATCAAGACAACCAGTGTATCAGTAGCTCCTAGAAAAGTAGGTCTCAACATACAACATGGAGAACACCAACCCAATCTCACTTGATGGAGAAGCTCTGGAAGATCCGGAATCTTTCACGTACCTGGTCAGTGTCATCAATTAACAAGGAGGATCTGATGCAGACGTAAAGGCGGGGATCGGCAATACAAGGACAGTATCCCTACAGTTGAAGAACATATAGAATTCGAAACAACTGTCCGCAAGCGAACATAAAAGTGAGAATCTTCAATACGAATGTCAAGACAGTTCTACTGTACGGAGTTGAAATGTGGAGAACTATTACAACAATCATCAAAAAGGTAAAAGTATTTATAAACAATTGTCTACACGAGATACTGAATGTCCTATTGACTAGATAACATCAACAACAGTCTACTATGGTAGAGAACAAACCAACTTCCAGCTGAGTAGGAAATTAGAAATAGACGATGGTAGTGGATAGGACGTACATTACGAAAATCACCAAACTTCATGACGAGGCAAGCACTGACTTGAAATCATGAAGGGAAACGGAAAAGAGGAAGGCCAAAGAACATATTACGTCTGGAAATAAAAGCAGATACGAAAAGGATGAATAGCAACTGGAAAGAGCTGGAAAGGATTGTCCAGGAACTAGTTGGATGGAAAATACTTGTATGTGGCCTGTGTTCCTCCACAAGAGGTAGCAGGCGTAAGTGATAGATCATAACTTTATTCACTAGTAGACTCCAGAATAATCAAATTATTCTGAAGGGTATTATTTCTACATTTAGTTCATGTATCTCAACAAAGATGTAACGCAGTTTCTGGATTCCATTCCTAACTAAAAACCATCTATTCTATAAAAAAATATTGATTGTACCGTTTTTTTTTAACGTTTATAACATTTCAATGGTTAAGATCATGAGTCAACGGAAGCTAGACCACCATGGAAAATCTGGAAGCATTGGACGGCAGTTCCGTCCTATTGTGGGACTCCTCAGCAGTGCGCATCCACGAGTTTCGAACGCAGGACCTACTGGTTTCGCGCGCGTTCTTTTATTCCATGTATTCTCTTATTGTTATTCTAGCCACATTTAACTTCACTGGTTTTTATTTGATAATAGTAAATTGTAAATATTTTCATCTATTTCAACATCAATTGAACCTTTATCGTTATTTCAATGAATCAGCTTATTTTATCATTGTACTAAACATGTGTCTATGTACAAGCCTTATTTGTATCTTCCATTTTATTATTATTGTTCTGAGTATTCAATATAATAGTAATAATAGTCATATTGTTGGTAGTGATAATATGTATACTTATTACCAGATTTATGTTTAATACATGTTTCAGATTACTAATAATCAATATTTGATTTCTATTTCACCTAATACATGAGTCTAAAATTAGGAGAGTATACGTTAATACGCACGATGGAACTATTCAATATTGTTGCTAGTATTTTATTTTGTTTTTTGTTTACGATGAAAATTTCAGACAAACAAGATATTTGTATATATACATGTGTGTGTGAGAGAGAGAGAGGAATTGTGTGTGAACTTTTCCATGTATTTTCTGTTCTCACTGTTAATTCCGACATAAACCGATTTCAGATGATTCATCAATGCGAGGAGAACAGTTTGGAGTTAAATATTAGATAAATAACAAGTTTTTATTGCACGTTGATATGAAACATAAGAGGTTCACATTATCTTCCTGATGTTTAGATTATCTTTGTTTTGTTGGATTATCGTCACATTACATCGCGAATTATGATTAAATTGAAATGTGTACTTTTAGATATCAAATCAGTAATGTAACGCTTAAGTATTTACCACTTGATGTAAAGGTCTCTGGTCCGATTTCTGACGTAGTATTGCTTGGACACTTATAAAGAACCATATACCAGGATGAAATAATTGTCGAATGCTCTCTAGTCCCCAATGATTTTCGAAATAAAGTCAGTTCGTGCTGTAAACTATCAATTTTTATTTACTGTTTTTATCCTAAATTTATTTTGTTTTTAGAACCTCAAATTTTGGAGAAGTCGTTTCTTTGTAATACCAATTTTCAGCAATGAAACTCGGCGTTTAGCTGAAGCTATCCGTGAGTAAGTATTCAATAAAGCTAGAACCTATCTCTTAAAAATAAATCTATCAGTATTCAATAATATATTATGGGATGTAAGAAAGTTTTTGAATTTATGAAATTTAGAGGGTTGTTCAAGTTGTTCAATTTAAACCTGAGGAACCATTAGAAATGAAGGGAGATTGGACAGATGTTTCAACTTTGTATAGGAATTCCTGATGGTTCCGACCGAAGGCTCCATAAGGACTAAACGCAGAACCTCTAGGTTTCTTGGTCAATTACATCCGAGCATCTAGTAGTCTATATTCCTAACTTCGATCAACGGGTTACTATCACCCATTATCACCGGTAATAACGGTCTCAATGTCATTATTATTGAACCTTCCTGTCAAGTCTTGTCACTAGAAATTCAGCAATATGTCGCAAAGGTTCTTACCAGTCAACACATGACTTTTGTTGAAGAGCATGGTTACCATAAATCCATTAGGTCTTGGAAACGGTTCTTGGAGAGGTCGTTGGACAAATGTCTTTCCCATAATTCGCTGTTTCCAGTGCTTTCTTTGTTATCTAAAGTCAATTAGTAATGTGAACTATCTTTAAATCGAACACCTTTCAAATCCAACTGTTTTTATCTCATCCAAGTCCTGTAAGTTGTGAACATATACCCTAATAGAATCGTCTGTGAAAAAATAGATCCATTGTAAGTTCAATGTAAGTTCTGTTTCATAAAAATGATTTAAAGATAGATAGATATTAGATGGAGAATAATTAAAATTCATGAAACATATATCTATTTGATCCTGACTTTCAGCATCAATGGTATAAACTCTTAATCCCCCTACACAGAATCGGTGGTATTATTTAGACATTAAGTTCCCATCGAATAGTCAATATTTTCCAACTTCGATCAACTTGCGAATTGGTACGATCATCATACTGTTAATTGTCTCTGATTATTATTCATATTAGTGAATGAGTAGCGATTGACAATCTAATAAAAGTAGAATGGTACCCTTTACGGCTTTTCTTAAAAGCTTCATTAAGTATTCTCAATTCAAGATGAAAAGTATGTTCAAGTCAAACACTTATTTTTCTAACCATCATGTTTAAATATAATCTCCACTTGATTAAATCCAAAAAATATGATAAATTAGCTCATTTACTAGATGCTTGCATATAAACCACAATCTTGGTATGAGGGCTAGGGATACTCCCTGGTCACCCAAACTGAACTAGTGGCCGCAAGTTGAACGTTTTAACCAGTAAACCACAGCTCCAACTTCTTTAAATATACATTTATGCTTCTAATTACTAGATTTGATTTTAAGGTTAAAGTTAACGTTACACTTTACATTTAAACTACTATATGTAACAATTTCCAGTTTGTCGAAATCATTGTGATCGATGTTAGTTGATTTCATTACGTAATGAAAATATCGATCACCAATGGGAAAGATTACTTATGTTAAGAAAGAAAATGATTATGTCATAATCTTTGATATGGTCTAACTAGCTTAAAGTACAAAAGATTGTTTACATGGGTACTTGTTTATTAAGCTGTTCTTTTTCTTTCACATATATAACGACAAATTGTAATAAGTCAGTCAAAAACTATGGGTTCATCTTGAGAAAAATCGTGAGATATTTGTATGATTGGTAAAACTATTTGGAATAGGCCAGGTTTATCATGTGACCAGTAATTTCCAGTTTATAATGTGCTATTTATAAATGACAAAAGATTTTCAGCTTCAGTAGATGCTTCTGGTTGTGTTATGTTCTCTAAGTGAAGTTTTCATTGTCGTTCTTAACAGCAGCTTTTGCGCCTGTTTGAATGTCATTCAACCTATTCTAGAAAGTAATACTTAAAACGGAGTGGTGGATTAATAGCTAAAGCATTTAGTTTTTAGTCAGTTAGTCCTAGGTCCAAACTCCTCCGCCTATTCCGGTTTAGGAAACTGGGCAATATTCGTAGCTCTTATACAAGCCATCTCTCGAAAGCTAATTAGGTAAATTTGTACTCTGTTTAATCTGTGCTCTATTAAATAAAATACTTATTCATATTTCATTAGGCTTCTCGCTTAATCTTGTATATTCCAATAATACGATTTGTGTTATGCAGTTATGTTAGTTTGAGAGAGTTGTGTAATCATCAAACAAATGAGTCATCCAAATGATTTCTTAGAGTTCCACACCCTAAGCCTTTGACCTAAGGGTCTGATCCACAAGACAGTGGAGCAACGTTAGAAGATACAGTCTTATGGTAGCCGGTGACCAACAATAGGTTCAAACACCATTTGTTCCTTCAGGAGGCTGGAGCCCATGTGCACCGTTTGTTTGGAATCAGGGTTTTCTAACTGTCCTAGGTGGACTCTCCGTATCTACCAACCCGGTCAAAGCGCTGGACATTTACTTCTCGTCCTCTCAATTTCTTGAACAACAATAATGCTGCGAGAATGCAGTGTGTAGGACTTCCCTGTCAGTGGTTGTATACGCGCGACTATGTGAGAGTATTTCGAGAGTGAGAGCTGACTCTACCCACTCACGGCCTTACCAGGGCATTTGGGGGTTAATATTTTTGAAAAAGACAATAAAAGTTTTACGATTAAACCACTTCGTTCACAGACCAAGATACTTTATAAAACTGATGAAAGAAAAATAAATAACATTTAATTCACAAAAATTCATTTTATCATCCTTTTTTTAATACTTATGTATTACTACTAGTACTAATTTGATTTGTTGAATGTTTCTTTCTTTTTTTCTTCTTTGCCCTTCTTTCTCATTTATTATATTCTCATTAATGATTAAAAGTAATCATACCACTGGTCAACGAATTCAATGTGATGTTTATGAATCAGATTATATAAATATAAATCGTGAAAAAACTTGTGAAAAATTTGTTCATTTTATTGAATCAATTAATCGTATACGACGTACACCTATAACAAGTCGAAAGTTAAATCGTCAAGTAAGTTGTCTATTCATGATTCATTATACTATAATTAATTTTTTGTTTTGTTTGGAGAATTTCAATTGTCGAGATCATGAGTCAATTGAAAATGGACATCTATGAAAAACCTGGAAGCACTGGACGGCCGTTTCGTCCTATTGTGGGACTTCTCGACAGTGCGCATCGACGATCCCGTCTCGCTTAATTCGAACCTACGACCTATCAGTATTGTGCGCGAGCGCTTAACTTCTAGATCATTGAGCTGGCATCCAATGGTGTTAATGTCTAAATTCAACTAATCCACGAAATTGAGTGACACATCCAACATTGTCATCAGTGAGTTAATAGCTCACAACAGACCAGGTTGAACTTCACTGGTCACTGCTTCTCACTAAAACTCTAACCAGTCACTAGTGAGCATATGTTGATCATTATCAGAAGGGGGTTTTGTGGAGATTTTAGTAATTTCAATTGTTGAGATCATGGATAATTATAAATTTCTACTAATTAATGAAATCAAACTATCACTGAGAATGATAGTATTGCAAAAAAATAGAAAACAAACATAATAAGTGAGGTAGTGGAGATGATTTGTAGCTCAAGTGGTTGAATTGGTAATTTTGTTCTCTGAGCTACATGCGTTCATCGTTCTCCTGAACGATATCATTAGCATAAACTTCAGGTAGAAATAAAGTGTTTAGATTTCTCCACATATAACTCACAGCCTGTCCTGTAGATCTCGATGTTGATTGGTTATTGTTGACCTTTAATCCGTTATTGTTTACTTCTTTGTTTTTGGTTATATCTCCTATAAAGTAGTAAACAATGACAGGTTAAAGGTCAACAATAACCAATCAAGATCAAGGTCAACAGGACAGGTTGTGTGTTATATGCGGAGAAATTCAAATACTTCACTTCTACCTGAAGTTTGTTCTGATGGTGTCGTTCAGAAGAATGATGAAAGCTCCATGACCAAACCATCTAGCTCAGAGGACAAAACTAATTATGTAATTGAAAAAAAATGGTGAAACATAGTAAAGTATACAATTTATCTACGAGAATAAAACTAGAGTTCTGTGCTAATCAGTACTTATCAGGGATAATCATTAGGATTGAGTATTTTAATTGATAGGCAGAGATGTTATGGTGGCTATCAATGTAATCCAGGAAGCGCGTTTCGTCCTTTTTGCGACTCGTCAGCAGGATGTACCTGTACCAACTCTAGGATGCAAGTACATCCGGCTGATGAGTCACGAATCGGACGAAACGCGTTTCCTGGATTCCATTGATAACTACCATCATTCTCTACTTATAATGCCTGTGAGTTAGTGTGATATCGAGGCAATCCTCACAGAATGCACATATATTAAAAGAGATTGATCAATTACAGTCCTAAACATCAATGGAAAGATCCAAACAATCAATACAAAAATGTATTTTAATTTAAGTTTAACGTGGATATAAACTTCTTTTTTCTTCCATTTAATTTTGTTCTTCATTTCGTTATTTGACTTTTCATAGTTCGATCTTTCATTTAGAGATTTAATTTTAATATCGCAAGGGGTTTTTGTGGATATTATAGTAATTTTAATAGTTCAGATCATGAGTCCTGAGTTCGAATCTCGCGAGGCGGGATCATGTATGCGCACTGTTGAGGAGTTCCACAGTAGGACAAAACGGCTGTCCAGTGCTTCCAGATTTTCCATGGTGGCCTAGCTTCAATTTAATTTTAACTTAGAATACTTGGATAAAATGAATCTATTTCTTGAAGATGTTGAAAATATTAAATATAGAGCTTTCTGAATGGTCTAAGCATCAATACGAAAATATTGAACATTCATTTCTCTACTTTTGAATGTGAAATATTGGTGATAAGGTATTAGCAAACCGATAAGAGTAGGTAATAAATGCGAAATATCGCGACCATACTGAAGTTAGAAATATAAGCCATTAGTTACCGGTTCAGTGATCTACAGGCTAATCTTTCATGACCAGGCCTGATGTTCCTGCGTTCGTTCACTGATGGGTTGTGAATATGAGTTTCTGAGGTGTATTTCATACTGGAACAAAACAGCTGTATACCGCTTCCTGATTTTTAATAGCTAACTGAAATCAGCAATTACCACGCTTGACTTCTGTCAATCTAGTAACTTAGATTGTCCCCAAATACCATGGTACGATCGAGAGTGGGGAGAGTCAGATCTCCCTCTCCAAATGCTTTCACATGGCCACGTGCATACGATCATCAACAGGGGATTCCTATTCACTGCCTTCTCATAGTAGGGGAGTTGTTTACGAAATTGAGAGGACGAAAAGCGAATGTCCAGAGCTTTAACCCGGTTGATGGACATGGAGAGTCCATCTAGGGAAGTTGGAAAATCCCGATTCCAAACCACTGGTGTACATGGGCTCCAGGATTCTGAAGAAACAAATGGTGTTTGAACCTATTGTTGGTCACCGGCTACCATAAGACTGTATCTTCTAACGTTGCTCCACTGTCTTGTGATTCAGTCGAAGGCTCCGAGTATGGCCCCCTAAGAAAACCACCTGCTTCAGTTTGGGCACCTGGACAGTATCCCATCCCTCACACAAATCGAATGATTTACATGGCACCTATCTATTCGTTGCCTCCTTGTACCATTGTTTATGTTTTTAAATAAATAAATAAATAACGCCACATATAGCCTAGACTTGATCTCACACTATTTATGACAGATAAACACACAATTTCCATGATAGTAAACTTGATATCATTGACTGACTTGTTATATTGAATAATTTATCATTTTAAGACCTATGAAAATTCTACTAATTCCTAATAAATAAATTGTTCCCTGTATCAGTAAACTACCCATTTCTAATTCTCCAAAGTTGGCCTTAATAAAACTGTTTATTTATTTAAATTCACTTGGTATTGTTTTTGCTTGTATCTTCCCATTGATTTTTAAGACTGCAATGATCAGTCTGTCAGGTACATCCAGCTGACGAGTCCCAATTAGGATGAAACGCGCGTTCTGGATTCCACTGCTAACCACTATCCATCTTTGCTTATAAAATGTTTATTTATTTATTTACTAATAGAAACTATTATATATATATATAGTCATCAATAAGAAATACCCTACAGAGTGTTGGAGATATCTGTATAAATAAACCGACAACCAATATTGTTTACTGCCAACTATTATTATTAAATATTTCAATTAATTATTAAGTAAAATAATCGATTTGTGTTTTAGTCTACTGTTTATTGTTTTATTTAAAAAGGAGAATATGGACTAGAATTGAACACAAGCTTAATCAGTTTTTGTTTTTATCATACAGGTTCAATTTTGTATACATTTCATCTGACTTGGTTACTTCAATATTCGGTTATTATGTGTTGTATATAGAAAAACAAATCAATTTTATTAGTTGTATCGGGGATTAGTTCCTTTTTTTATTTTAACGTCAGATAATTTGCTTTACGGATTGTTTTTAGTTGGACAATTAGTGAAAACTAGGAAGTATTGAATAGCTATTTCATTCTAGTTTAAAATTCTTTAACAGTATGTATATTCCCAACTTTGCTAAAGATGAAACGTTTAAGTTTTATGATAAGTTTCTCATCTTTAGACTAATAGATTGAAATTCAATCCCTTGCACATACTTCTCACTTCAGTCTATTTATGATAAAATAAAGTGTTCAAACAATTGAAATCATTAGTCGATTTGAGCTAGACTACTATTGAAAACTTGAAATCACTGGACGGTTGTTTAGTCTTAGTATGGAACTCCTCAGAAGTGCGCATCCACGATCACACACGCAGGGCTCGAACCCAGGACCTTAAACTCTAGACCACTGAGCCGGGTTCGAGTCGCACGTGAGGGGTTGTGGATGAGTACTGCTAAGAAGTTCCGTACTAGGACTAAATGACCGTCCAGTGCTTTCAAGTTTTCAATGGTAGTCTAGCTCAAATCTCCACAAACCCCCATTTTGTTAAAGTGTTCTAATCATTCAATGTGTCATCAGTACTAAGCATCTTACTGCATAGAGCTAATTGAATTCATCTTTTAATCACTGGTTCTTACTAGAAATTATGTAACCTCTCTCAAAGTTAGTCAACAGTATAAGTATATGATTAAAGTTTTCGGTTGGTTTCTTGGTGAATTGTTCTTAAAAATGATCATGAGTTACTTATAATTGATGAGCTATTGAGTTAAGTCTTTATAACCGACTGTTGCTATATCCTACTATTGTATAATTAACATTCATGTCGTTTCTTTTTTCAATTATACCAGTCTTAATTCGATTCTGTTAGAAATTTTATTCTTTTCATTTATTTATATATTTCTTATAGTCTACTATAGAGAAATCTGATCTTCATCGTGTTACTACAACAACAACAACAACCAGTTTTAATACAACTATTTTAAATGATACAACTATAAATTCTTGTTGTAAACCTAAAACTAATCTATTGACTACAGTCACTCATACACGACCATCGATTATTACATCAGTTAACACAACTGGTTCTTTGAATGAAACCAGTGACTATAATATACAACTAATTAATCGAGGAAGTGCAATCAACTCATCAAGTATTGTTCATATAGATAGTTTTTATTCAACTACTTCATTGCCTAATATCCCGGGAATATCATATCAAAATACTGAAGATCAATCATTACCTACAAATTCTGTTCAAATGACACAAAATACTTCAATTTTTAATTCAAGTTTATCTAATTCTAATACTAATATCACTTATTATTTAGTAGCGTTAATGATGGTTGATAATGAGTAAGTTATTTATTTTAATTATCATTCATTATAAACCATACTATGTACTGTAAAAATTAGGTCATTCATCAAAAAGTGAATCTATTATGAGGTATTTAAATCAAGTTGTGAAGCAGTGTGCATTGACGATCCCACACGAGGAACTTGAATCCAGGACTTATGGTCTTGCGTGCGACCACCTAACCTCTAGATCACTGAGCTGGTATCCAACGGTGTTCATACTTACTTACTTACTTACTTACGCCTGTTACTTCTCGTGAAGGAGCATAGGCCGCTTACCAGCATTCTCCATCCAACCCTGTCCTGGGCAATCCTTTCCAGCTCTTTCCAGTTCTTATTCATCCCTTTCATATCCGCTTCTATTTCCTAACTTAATGTGTTCTTTGGCCTTCCTCTTTTCCGCTTCCCTTCAGGATTCCAAGTTATCGCTTGTCTCGTAATGCAGTTTGATGATTTCCTCAATGTATGTCCTATCCACCTCCAACGTCTTTTCCTAATTTCCTCTTCCGCTGGAAGCTGGTTGGTTCTCTCCCACAGTAGGCTGTTGCTGATGGTATCCGGCCAATGGATGTTGAGTATCTTGCGTAGACAGCTATTGATAAATACTTGTACCTTCTTGATGATGGTTGTTGTAGTTCTCCAAGTTTCAGCTCCGCACAGTAGAACTGCCTTGACATTCGTATTGAAGATTCTGACTTTAATGTTGGTTGAAAGACAGTTGTTTTGAGTTCCATATGTTCTTTAATTGAAGGAATTCTGCCCTTGCTTTGCTAATCCTCGCCTTTACGTCTGCATCTGAGCCTCCTTGTTTATCGACGATGCTTCCCAGGTATGTGAAGGATTCCACATCTTCCAGAGTTTCGCCATCAAGAGTGATTGGACTGCTGTTCTCCGTGTTGTGTTTGAGGACCTTGGTTTTCCCTTTGTGTATTTCGAGGCCTACTAACGCAGAGACTGCTGCCATGCTGGCTGTCTTTGTCTGCATTTGTTCGTGTGTATTGGATAGGAGGGCTAGGTCATCTGCGAAGTCTAAATCGTCTAGTTGGTTCTGAGCTGTCCATTGTATGCCGTATTTTCCCTCAGATGTCGAGGTCTTCATAATCCAGCCGACCACCAGAAGAAATAGGAAGGGAGAGAGTAGACAGTCTTGTCTTACTCCGGTCCTTACTTGGAATGCATTTGTCAGCTGTCCTCCATGCACTACTTTGCACTGTAGTCCGTCATATGAATTCCGGGTAATATTGACAATCTTCTCAGGAACTTCGTAGTGTCGAAGAATTTTCCACAACGTTCTCCTATCTACACTGTCAAATGCCTTCTCATAATCAATGAAGTTGACGTACAGTGACGAGTTCCACTCAATTGATTGTTCGACGATGATCCGTAGTGTTGCAATTTGGTCTGTGCACGACCGGTCCTTACGGAATCCAGCTTGTTGATCTCGAAGTTGAGCGTCTACTGTGTCTTTCATCCTGTTTAGTAACACTCTGTTGAGGACTTTTCTTGGTATTGACAGTAGTGTAATGCCTCTGTGATTTTCACACTTGCTCAGGTCTCCTTTCTTTGGAATCTTGATGAGGTGTCCTTCATTCCAATCCATCGGCACTTGTTCATCCTGCCAAATCTTCTTGAATAGAAGATGAAGCATGTTCGTAGTTACTTCGATGTCTGACTTCAGTGCTTCAGCTGGTATATTGTCGGGTCCTGCTGCTTTCCCGCTCTTGATTTGTCTGATAGCTATGAGAATCTCTTCGATCGTTAGTGGATTGATATCTATAGGAAGATCTGTGTGTGCTGCTTCTATGTCCGGTGGATTCATTGGCGCCGGCCTATTCAGGAGTTCCTCAAAGTACTCTTCCCATCTGTTCTGCTGTTGCTGAATCTCAGTGATCGGTATTCCTTCTTTGTTTTTGACTGGTCTCTCTGGTTTACTATATTTCCCTGCTAGTTTCTTCGTTGTGTCGTAAAGCTGTTTCATATCTCCTTCTCTTGCAGCTTTCTCCGCCGTTGTTGCTAGTTCTTCCACGTACTTCTGCTTGTCGGCTCTAATGCTCTTCTTCACTTGCTTGTTTGCTTCTATGTATTCAGCTTGTGCTTGGACTTTCTCTGCTCGTGTTCGGCTATTGTTAATTGCTGTCTTCTTGTTCTTCCTTTCTTTGATCCTGTCCAGTGTTCATGTCTAACTTAAATTAATTTTTGATCTGGTGCAATCCTTCATCCATTGTCTCAAGCGGATATCTGAATATCTAGAAGCGTTAGCGTGCGAGACCGAAGGTTTCTGGTCTAAGTCCCAAGTACGGGATCGTGGATGAACGCTGCTGAGGGTCCCCATACTAGAATGAAACAGCCGTCCAGAGCTCGCAGCTTTTTGATGATAGTCTATCTTAGATCGACTCGTGATTTCAGATGTGAAAATTTAAATATTTGTCCTTGGATTAATAGGTTCAAGGTTTAAACATCGCTTTTCATGTACTTCAGTTTGACCAGCCTTATAGAATCATTACTCTATACTCACAAATAATATGGCTAAAAGCTGAATACATTAATCAGGGATTTGATCTGGCATTATTATTTAGGTTGATTGAAATTTTGATAAACTGGTTTATATACATCTTTGCATTTCTCACCACCTGGTTGGAATCCACGAGACGATAGCAACCGATGGTTAGATACCTTGGATGACATGGCTCAAAATCGTCTGCAATGGCTCAGGTGCATCCACTCTTTGTGTTCTCCCAAATTCTAATCTTCTGAATTCTCCTTGTCTCTTTTTTTTTCTTTCCATATTTATTTCCCCGGATTATACTCCTTCAATAGCATCTTCCGATTACTGCTTCTACTTTTCCTACCTGTACGACTATGGGATTTGAATTGACAATTGTATCTGTGTGCTAATGTGGTATGGCAACTTGAACTGATGTAGGTACGTACGTATGAAGTTCTACGTTGTTGCTGACTGACTTCTCACTTTTCACGGACAAAAAAGAGAGAATATTTCTCTCGCCAATAATCATCATGTTTGTGCGCGAGCTGGGATACTACCCCGAGACTCAGGTTGGAACAGGTGATTTCCTCAGGGTCCTACCCCTGAGCTATTGACATAAAAGTCTACTCAACAAGGGGACGGAGCAACGCCAGGAGATGTAGCCTCATGGTGGTCGGAGTAGGTTTTTATACCATTGCTTCTTCTAGACCCTGGGAGCCCATTTAACTAGTCGGTTTACAATCAACGTTTCCTATCTCTAATCCTTTACATCTACCGATCTTGCTTTAAACAAAGGATGTTTGTTTTACATCCCCTCACTTATGTAGAATGAAGAAAGTATGTTCAATAAATTAATGAATTATCATCATTTTATGGATGGTACAGTGATTGGAGTTCGGGTGTACTTATCTCAGCAGTTGATGTTCAAGATAATCTCATCATTTATCTATTCATATTGTATAAACTTATATTCAGTGAATAAGTTACATTTGTATAATTAGAAATAAATCGTTTTAGTAATTAACTTGAATTGATCATTTGTGTTTAATTGTGATTGAAATTGTTACATTTCACCTCGATATCATGATATAAGACTACACTAGATGTTAAATAAATGAATCAGCCTGAAATTCTTGTTTTCAATACGTGGTAAAGTTATAGGTGTCCGATGTTAGGGAATCCTTTATGAGAATAAAACGATTTAAAGAAAATAATTTAGTCAAGGTCAATTAATGAAGTGAACTATTTTCGAATTGAACATTTACGTAGACTATATATACTAGCAAGTCCTGAGATGTTAATTAGTTAGTGGTCGTTGGTAGGAAACTATACTTGACCAAGGTTTCATGAGCAATGTTTCTTTACAATCTTGAGAGAATTGATAGTCCCCGTAAAGCTCGAACCCGCGTCACGCATTTTCACAATCTGAGAAGTCACCACTGAGATACTCGGAATAACCCAGACAAGCTTTTCTAGCGAACGCTAACAAAAACAAAACCTCGGTTAAGCAGTGTTTCTTTTCAAATACCTCTGACTACCTAAGATCTTAGTGTACACTATACTAAGTCACTTATTATGGTGTTCACATTGTAATTTGAACGTTAGAATTTAGTCAACACTAAAGGACTTGATAAATATAAGATTATTCTCTATTCAGTGTTTAAATAATTGTAACTCTCACATGTTTTTTGTGTTTGTGTATACTTATAACTTGTTTTTCCTCGAACTAATACTTTCCCTTTTTTCTCTCTCTTCCTCTCTGTGGTTTTGTATGTCTCCGGTAGCAATGGCCTACCGTTCATTTCAGCAACTACAACTGATGCATTTCCTAATTATACTTTCATCTCTATTGATGCAGTCAATTGGATAATTAAATGGTTTCCTGATATTAAAACTATTGAACAAGCTATTTTTTATCTACAAGTAGTTTATTATTTTCATAAAGATCGTTGTTTGTTTGGCTATTCTGTTTTATATTCAGGACTACAATTGATCAGTTTCTCTTAGTATATTTGCATCCTATGAGGATTGCCTCGACATCATCTTAAGTCAAAAATATTTTAAGTAGAGATGGGTGTTGGCTATCACTGGAATCCAGGATACGCGTTTCTTGCCACTTTTTGACTCATCAACTGAATGTACCATCCACCCAGAGTTGCTGTTCACTTAGTAGCTAAATGGACAACTCAATGGTGTTTGAAGCAAACGGTATTGGGTCTGAATTCTGGATTGAACAGAATATAAACTCTGGGATGTGTGATACATCTAGCTGACAAGTCACAAACAAAGGGAAACGCACCTTCTGGATTCCACTACTAGCCAGCATCCATCCATCTCTGCTTATAATTATGGTAGGGTGTTGTGAAAATTGTTGAATTTGAAGTTTAATCACCCAGACTATTCTTACACTAACAATCATGTGCTTACAAGTGACTAAATTTGCAAGATTATTCGTAGAGTTCTAATAACAAGCGGTGACCGATGGAGTTCAGTTCTATCAGTCATGGCAGTGGGCTATGGTCGTGCAAAATCATGACTTAACTGAAGTTAAAAATGCAGACTATTAGATTTTAACTCAATATTCAGTCATTATTATAGTTACAGATGCTCAGTTCTGAGAATTTCTATATGAGGACGAAACGACCGTTCAGTATTTACTGGCTTTCAGTGGTTCAGTAAATAAAACCATTTGGTAGTATGAAATTTCAAATTGTAATTTTAATTCTGTTATCTTTATTTATTTAAACATGTAGATATTGGTACGAGGAGGCACCAAATAGACACGCACCACATAAATCATTCGATTTATGTGAGGGCTAGGATACTGCCCGCGTAGTCAAACTGAAGCAGGTGGTTTTCTTAGGGGGCCACACCCGTGGCCTTCGACCTAAAGGTCTGATCCACAAGACAGTGGAACAACGTTAGGAGATGCGGTCCCATGGTAACCAGTGACCAACAATTGTTTCATACTCCATTTGTTTCCTCTGGATCCTGGAGCCCATATGCACCATTTTGTTTGTAATCAGGGTTTCCCAACTGTCCTAGGTGGATTGTCCATATCCACCAACCCGAATAAAGTGCCGGACATTCGCTTTTCGTTTTCTCAATTTCGTAAACAACAATTATGCCACGAGAAGGTAGTGAATAGGACCTCCCTGTCAGTGGTTTTATGCACGTGGCCACGTGAGAGGATTTGGAGAGAGAGATCTAACTCTTCTCCCTTTCGGTCATAGCAGGGCATTTGGGTGCTGTTATTTTAAAAATTCAGTTATTATCAGTTTGTTTCAATAGAATACTTTTCTGTCAATCACTAAGTGTTTATATTTATCTATTTTTTCCTTAACCAATCATGAAAATAGCTTTTATTCTGAATTGACACTAAATGGACGAATTATTTGTAGAACATAAGGACCCATCAGTAGCGACTGTTTAGTTTCATTTCAGTTGCTTAACAGTCGTATGTTGTATTTACCGCAAATTGATCTTGTGAGGGCTGGTGCTGTGTCAAGCCTACATAGGTTATTCTAGCCTCTGGACAGATCGATCTATTTATTCTTCTCAAGACACATTTTTACTCTGTCACTTAGTCGCTTATTAACTCTGACTGTTTTTTATGAGATCGTTTATGTTAATTACCTACCCCGTTCATCATGTGTCTGTAACTTCCTTGTGTTTGACTATAAATATTGACTCACGCTTGATTAAAACGAGCTGGCTCACTCGGTTTCTCCACTGCGCATCGTTTCGTTTCCCTGATTATCTGTCTAGATAAACGATTGTGTAGAGTATACGTATTCGAAATTCATTCTCATATTTGACTTATTTAATTCCGTTATTCATTAACGCGAGTTAAGTCGTTGATTATATACGAGAGTAGTCGGGATGTATATTTCGATAGCAATCGTTCATACTATCGAACTGGAGTCAGATACAGGGTCACTAAAATCTTACTTGATATGCCATCGAAAACCAGGCAGCAATGATGAATAGCTGTTTCGCTTAGTAAAAGATTAGACCCTCGACTTTCAGGTCTCAAAGCGAATACTTCGTCATTAGAACCACTTAACCGGCTTTCGTTTATGAAATCTCAAATTCAATCAGTTTCCGATATTATGCTACGATCATCAAATGTAATCGGTAAAAACTATTCCACACCCGACATTTCTGAGCTCGTTAAAATTTTGAGAAATATCTAGAAGTAATTCATCTTAATTTGATACATTTAATATCCGATCGACCGAAAATTAAAAAAATACTTTTGTGAAACAAATGTTAATAAAATTAACGCGACCGTTGTTAATGTGTCGTTGAAAGTTGATATTGAAACACAGAGTAAACAGGTAAATAAGAAATTTTCGTAGTTATATTAGAGAATGAATTTACATTGATGCTTACAATTTTGAAACCTTTTCATCTCAGATTATATATTAAATAATTTTTGTATATTCTAAATGATAATTTTATAATTGAGATCATAAACTGATCTATGTTAGACTACCAATGAAAACCTGGGAGCACTGGACAGCCATTTCATCTTAGTATAAGACTCCTCACCAATGCACATCCACGATCCCACATGCGGAACTCGAACCTAGGACGATCGTTCAGTGCTTCTAAATTTTCAATGATGGTCTAACATTGATCGGTTCATGATGTCAATTACAATTCAACAATCTCTACAACCCTATACTAATAATTTTATAAGTACCAATGATACATCTTCGTATAATACCTGTACACTCAAAATTTACTATAAAGTCATTCTCTTTATAATGAATCGTTTTATAAAGTTATGATTGTGTATATTTTCCTTATATATTTAGCAAATGCTAGAAGCTGGTTGGATATGTCATACTTCAGGGAATTCAAAACATGTATTTATTTATGGAACATATTTTTATACATTACTTATTCCTGATATAAAGCAATTAACAAATACACAAATTGATACTTCACTTAATCTATCTACATTAGATAATAGTGAAATGAATATTCACTCTGCTCCAGTTACACCAATTCAATTGAATGTATCAAATATAAGTGAGTTTAATTCATTTTATATTGTTTGTTTGAATCTTATTGATGTTTAGGAGTGTAATTGATCAGCCTCTTATTGTCATATGTGTATCTTGTGCGAATTGCATGTTAGATACTGCCTTAAGTTATAAGCATTGTAAACAAAGATGGATGGTGGCTATTAGTGGGATCCAATTTGACGCGCGTTTCTTCCTGTTTGGGACTCGTCATCCCAGAGTTGATATTAACTCCGGGACTCAAACCCAGTGCCATTCGTTCAAACGCCATCGCGTTATCCAATTAGCCCTGGGATGGACGGCACATTCAGGTGACGAGTCCCAGATAGGACGAACCGCGCGTCATGGATTCCACTGAGGGTCACCATCCATCTTTGCCTATAATATAAGTGAGTCTACTTAAATTTTCAAATAAATAGTTTGTTTAATGTGCAATATGTGGAACAGTCGATTTTCAAGTGTGTCTTATGAAATTAAGCTTTCCCTATAAATATGTGTTAGTTAAAACTGTTATGCTTTTCGAAGCTAAGATAATAATAGTTGCCCACTGCTAGAGTAATCTTGAAACAAACATACTCAGTGCTTGAAAACTTTCAATCATTCTCCTATCAACTTAATTCATTGCCGAAAATAATTTTCAAACCTAAAATCTACACAAAATTAATTATCCTTGTTTTATTTAATAATTAATTGATTAATTATTACGGTTTTGTGGAGATTATTTCGTCACGGACTAATCTCAGTCAGAGTACTATTGTAGGTCAGAAGGTACTTTACAACTTTTTCGTCGCAGGACTTCTTACTACTAAATGAGTTCCTCAAACTTTAGTGAGAGTTCGTTAGTGGTGTAGTCTGGAAATATTTTAAGGGAAACAGTCCTTACTAGCATCTTTAGATGATCGTCTCACTATACCATGAACTATCCTACCTCCAACCACGAAACTTGAAGGTTTTGTGCTTAATCCCTGACAGGGTCGTCCCTGTGCACTTCTGATGAGTCTCATGCAACTGTTCCGTACTCCCTGGTTTTCAAGAACATCTCAACTAATATCAATCTCAGTCAGTCAGCTACAATGTAGGACTAGGCACATACATGCATCAGTCCAAGTTGCCATACCTCATTAGCACAACAAGATGAACACCAAACTCATAGAAGTAGTCACTTCAATCTTAGTAATATATAAAAGAAAGATTGTGTGTAAGGATATAGTACAGGAAGAAAGAATTAGTTCATAGAAAGAAAGATATGAAGCGATTTTAATCTCATAGTTTAAAGGAAGATAAAGAGTGTATACACTAATGTCATTGTTACCGAATCTAACCCATGTCACCCAGTCTCCAACCATTGGTTACGATGGTCACGCGGACCCCAAACAAGTATCAAATATCAATCTTATGAAATATACAATGTACAAATGAATTGATTGAAGATTTAATCTTTCTTATCGTATTTACAATTGTTTATAATTGATTAGTAGTTCATATTTAATTGTCCTAATTTAATATATTTATTGTTCATTAGATTGTACAAGTTCACCTTCTTCCAACACTTCACAATCAGTATCTGGTTTATCATCATCTTCAATATTTCCATTGACTACATCCACATTAACAACAACATCATTGAGTACATCAAATAATTTAATTATATCTTGTTATTCTTCTACAAATAATACAATATCAATAACAAATTTACCATACATTAATTCTCTGAATGCTAATTCGAACCTATTGAATAATTTATCTGCTTCTGCTATTGCTACTAATACTATTACTATTACTACTACTACTACTACTACTACTACTACTACTACTACTAATAATAATAATAATAATAACAATAATAATAATAATGATAATAATAATAATAATAGTATTAGTACTACTACTACTACTACTACTACTACTTCGACTATTATAAGCAATCCTATCAATACTATTGTATCATTAACTCCAATTACATCATCTAATTATACAAATACAATTACTAATACTTCATTATTATCTCATATCAATTCTTTATCATTTTCAACAATAAAACAAAATGAATTAAATTTTAAATTAATGAATATATCAATTCATTTATTTAAAACATTGTCTAATGTAGATTTAAATTTATTACAACAATTACCTATACAATTTCCTAAAGATTATTTACCAAAACTTTTAAATGATACAACAAAATGGACTAGTGTATTTCAAAATGAATGGGCTGAAATATCAATTGTTCATTATGGTACAAATGAGTATCAGATGAAACAACAACAACAGCAGCAACAACAACACCAACAGATTCTTGATTCAAATTATATGAATAGTAATATTGATAATAATGATACATTGAATGAAATGAATGATACTTCAGTTATAACATCTTTATCTACTGCTACAACAACAACAACAACAACTACTACTACTACTACTACTACCACTAATACTACTACTATTCCTATTACTACAAATGATTCTTGTCCATCTTTATCTACATCAGAAATAAAATTTGAATATGTGAATGAATTGAATAGTTTTTTTAATGATGGTCTGTTAACGTATTCATCAATTTCTACATTATTTGGAATACCGGATAAAACTGGATTTCAAGGTAAATATTGATTATTTTATTTGTTTTTCTGGTAGTGATGTATACTTTCAATTACGAAGTTGTCATTGTCACTTTGGATAACATCTTTAGTTATCTTTTCAGTTATTCCACAAATACAATGTTATTTCATTTAGAAGGACTTGTTTGTGATTGATTGTCTTTGTAGGTTACGTTGTTTTCATTTATCTTTGTAGTCATATTCACTGTTTTTGCCAAATGATCAATGGTCTTATGATTGGTCAACCTGTTCTGTATGGATTGATAATTTGATGTTTATTAGTTAGTCCTATACTTCCTTATTTTAGAATTTCGATGTTTCTCCAACTCATTCTTGTCCATTGTTGTCTGCATGTTGTGATATCAGTGATAACATATGTCGTCACATAGTTAATTTATGTTCATTTTGACTTAGATGAAGGTGTCATCCATTTTGTTCAATATAATATTTCTTGCAGTTGGTACAGGTGATTTTATAGATTATGTTAGAACACTGACATAGACTGAATCTATGGAAAGGGTACATCAATCATAAGGCCAGTGGTCAACCATCAAAGATAGCCAATTAGAAGATAGTTCATTCAAAGGAATTAACGTAATACTTGTGTAATAAGTAAAGTACTCACTTCTACGTGAATTAAGAAATGAAGATGTTGTCCAGAGTGACAACTGCGGAATTTCACTATCAAACTCTGTATTAAGTTTATGAACTAGTGGTCAGTTGCCTCAATTATTCTTATATAGCTAGTAAAAATGGTTATGATCAGTGTCAATCGTATTTAACTAGTAAAACTGTATAGAATTATGTTTTTCTAATTCTAAGTTATTATGATTCATAAAACACAGTCAGATAACTCTTTCATACTTTCCTCCAAACGTCACTTATCAATTAGAGTAAGTAATAAATGATGATAATTGATCTCACATATATTGCACATTGTAGTTTTAAATGATGAAAAGTACTGGTTTTTAATCTACTCAGCTTTTTATGTAAGACCTAGTGATATTATTTGATTGGCATAAAAAAACCAAAAGGAAATCAGTGAGACAAGATTTGAATCTACAATTTCCCAATCGAAAATCGAATGCTTTTCAATCATTAATCTATCGTATCAGATTATTACTTTGAATTACTATTCAAAATGAAAGAAAATTAATCATGGGTCGATTGAACTTAGACATTAACACCGTTGGATGCTGGCTCAATAGTTTAGAGGTTAAGCGTTCGTGCTCGTGATCCAAAATCATCAATTCAAGTCCCGTGTCAGGGATCGTAAATACTCATTGTTGAAGGGTTCCAAACTATGACGAAACGGTCGTTCAATGATTCCAAGCTTTCACTAGTGATCTAGCTTAGATCGACTCATGAATTCAACTACTAAAAATTTATCAACCAAATCAAGGGAATAACTTTTAATTATCTTACTAATTTTACATATTTAATTATACTTTGTAATTTGAGTTCATTTTGTGGTTTATCGTGATCTGTTACATTTAAAAGAAAATTGATATTACTGTATGGGATATTGTTTTTTTTCTTCCTTTTTTTTCTTCTTTTGTATGTCCATTTTATCTAAGAAAATGTAATGAGAATGTAAATAGAGGTGGGAATTTTTTTTCTTTCGTTAATGTCTGAAAAATTTATTCAGTCAGTCATCAGGACATGATTTGTTGCTTAACATGACTTTACTTCAAAAAAAAAATATGAAATCGTAATTCATCATGTGATATTTCATGAGGATAATTTTTTAACTCAAGTTAACATTTTTCTTTTTCAGTAAGGGGGATTTTTGGAGATTGTAATATGTATTTTTGTTGTTGTTGTTGATAGTTGAATTCATGAATCTATCTATAGTAGTTTATTATTGAATATATAGAAGCACTAAACGGCCATTTCATCCTATTTTTGAACTCCTAAACAATGTATATCTACGATCACACGCGTGGGACTCGAACCCAGGATTTTTGATTTCGAGCACGAATGCTTAAACTCTGAACACTACTCAGTGATCTAGAAATTAATTTTTTTACTAATAAATAGACAAATTGTTGTTAATCTCTTATCCTTCATTTTGAGTAACTTTTAACATGTGAGAAATGTGTTTGTCCTGTGCTATTAACACATTTTTCATGTAGTTTTTGTCCTATCAACTAGATTACAGTGAACATATAAAAATATACAATAAATATTCATCCTCTATGACTAAGCATATTGTTAAAATGAGTTATAGAGTTGAACCAACCTGCACTCTTTTCAACGTTGTATAAAACTGGTTAGGGGGCTAGCGAATACTCTGGTTTGTATATTGTCGATATCGGAAAATGACGGAACACTTTAAAGAGCTCAGCTAGTCTTCAGCTACTCTACAACTACCCACCATTCCCAGACAGTAGGTTCCCCGACTCTAACTGAAGTTCAAAAAGCTATAGCTAATCTGAAACGAGGAACAGCAGCTGATCTAGATGGGTTGGCTCTAGAGGTTTTTAAGGATGGTGGTCTAGTTTTAGCGATTAGGTTGACTAATATTTTAGCTAAAATCTGGGAGTTAGACGTTATCCCATCTAACTGGTCACAATCACTTATCGTCCCAATATATAAGAGAGGGTCAAAATCATCCCGTGACAACCACAGAGGGATTAGTTTGACTAATATAGTATCTAAAATACTAGCCTCAATAATTTTTGGACGCCTAACTAAGACTCGTGAACTGCAAACACGTGAAAATCAGGCTGGCTTCAGACCTGGTCGTGGATGCATCGACCACATATTCACCATTCGTCAGGTTCTAGAACACAGGCGTACTTATCGGCGTCCGACAATAGTGGTCTTCCTTGATTTAAAAGCAGCGTTTGACTCTGTTGACCGAGAGGTTCTGTGGCAGTGTCTGTCATTGAAAGGCATACCTCAGAAGTACATAAACCTTGTGAAGGCTCTTTACTCGAACACTACCAGTCGGGTCAGAGCCTATGGCAAAGTGTCATCCGCTTTTGCAACCTCAAGTGGGGTCCGTCAAGGCTGTCCACTTTCTCCTTTTTTGTTTAACTTTATCATAGACCTACTGATGGAAATAACGTTCTCGTTGACTGAATTCTCGGGTATTGATCTCCTACCAGGAGGTCCACTTATCGACTTAGAATACGCAGATGACATAGTCTTATTTGGTGGAGACGCTGATAAAATGTATAGTCCTTTGGTGACACTGAGTAACAATTCCAGGATGTTTGGGATGCGTTTCTCCCTCTAAATGCAAGTTGTTGCTCCAGGACTGGTCTGCGTCAACACTTGAACTAAGGATAGGGAGTGAAGTAACCGAACTCGTCGATACCTCCACTTATCTCGAAAGTCTGATCAGCCCTAATGAGTTAGTGTCTGACGAAATCTCTGCACAAATTCAAAAAGTTCGTTTGACTTTTGCCAACTTATATGACCTATTGCGAAGGCGAGATATCCGTCTATCAATTAAGGGACAAGTATACTGCGCAGAAGTTCGTTCTGTTTTACTTTACGTCTGCGAAACATGGCCATTAAGAGTAGAAGATACTTGTAAGCTACTAGTATTTGACCACAGATATCTTAGAAATGTTTCCAACATCTGCTTGGATCACCGAGTAAGTAATAGTGAGTTAGACGCAGGGTATTAGGGAATGATGGTAAATCAGTTGATGAGGTTGTGAATCTTCGTCTGAGATGGTTGGGTCACGGGTTACGTATGCCTGAACATCACCACGAAGCGCAATGCTGACTAGTGTTGGAGACGGTTGAAAGTTAGGGACGGCCAAACCAAAACGTGATATCAGTGCTTGAAGTCACCAATTTCTGGTCTTAGTCATGTTGGTAGATGCAGACTACTTGGTTGGAGTCCGCGTGACCATCGTAACCAATGGTTTGAGACTCTGGCTGACATGGCTCAGAATCGATCACAATGGTGTAGGTGTATACACTCTTTGTCTCCCCTTAAACAGTAAGATTAAAATAGCTTCATACCTCTTTTTCTACTACCTAATTCATTCTTTCTGTACTTTATCCTTACAAACAATCTTTCTTTTATATATTACTGCGGTTGAAGTAACTACTTCCATGAGTTTGGTGTTCATCTTGTTGTGCTAATGAGGTACGAGAACTTGGACCGATGTATATATGTGCCTCGTCCTACGTTGTAGTTTACTTACTGACTTATCGAAATGTTAACCATAAGAAATATTTATACCGTGCATGTGTCCAAAATTAGTTTGTACTCCTACCTTGATAATATTGATTTACATTTTATGTAGAGAACAGTGTGATGATCAATATTTTTCCTGGATTCCTGTTAGTCTAGTTTAATCTCTGATTCGTTGTATATAAATATGTTAATAATAAGACTCCTCGGATACGTGTTATGTGTGCGTAAATATACCCTTCCTCGAAACATAATGTTGACTTAACTAAGAGTTGGTTGAAAGGTAGGAACGGCCAAATTAAAACGTAATGTCAATGCATAGTGTGATTGACTGTTGATGTGAGTCATGTTAATAGATGCAGACTACCAATTTGAGATTCTCAAGTTAAGCTCAATCAGTGGTTGATATGGCTTAGGATCTGTCACAATGGTTGAGGTTCATTTATTTCTTATTTTGCTTCAGATCTTGATTCCCAGTATGCCTTCAAACATACCTTTTTTCTAGCTCTTCTTGAATTATATTCTCAGTGTTTGGTTTTTTTCGAAATAATAGTCACTGCATTATTTTGACTCATTTACTTAACATGTTAATTTCATCTCGTTGCGCTAATTTGGTGCTACGTTAATTATGACTAGCGGATTGACATTTATTATTATTATTATTATTATTATTATTATTATTATTATTATTATTATTATTATGCCGTGAAGTGTCTTCTGTAATTTCAGAGTATTATATTGTATTTTAGAAATTGATCAAGTTCTTCGTAAAAGTTGTTTATGTGATTTGGATGGACCAAATAATGATGGACCAGTTGAATGGGCTCATTGTGTATATGATGCAAATTATCATCCAACTTGTGCTTTTTCTATAGAACTTCAATGGCTTGTAGTTACAGGCGGACGAATGGCTGAACTGGTGAGTTTATTTTTTTCGTATATCTCACTAGAAATAGATATTTAATATTTATGATTTTCAGTTTTGATGGAAGACTATCACTGATTGATTCATGCGTATAGCTACTTGTTGTTGGTTGTCATTTAGGGATTTATGACAAGAATTGTAGTACGATGAGACGTCAAAAGAATTTATCACACTTTTGTATGGGCCGGGATACTAATTATGTGCTCAAATAATTGATTAGCGCAGAGGATCACACGGGTCCTTTGATTTAAAGGTCTAATCAACGATCTATTAATACAGTCTAGGAAGATCCTTTTTGGTGGTAGTTATCGACCAAATTGTCTTTGCATCATTCGATATGACCATGGTGCTCTCTTGCACCATCAGTTTAGAATCAAGATCTTGTAATTACACTAGATTGATCCTCCGTATTCAACAACTCGGTTTAGGCATCAGACGTCTACTTCATTCTCTTGATTTTCTAAAACCACTCCCGATAAATAAGATTTACCTAGAACGTCGAGTCCGCATGAGACAGAACATGCATTTAGGGATGTTTTAGAATTTTCTGTCTAAAGGTTTATTACACCTAAATACTGGTCTGAAAATGAAAATTATTATGAACAATCAATTGCAAACACATCTCAATCCTATAGAAATCCATTTGCAGCCCTAATATCTCAATCATAATGTGTGTGACTATGAAGCTGAGTGATATGGCATTAAATCCTCCAAACAGCATCAATTCCCTTTAGATTACGGGTACATCTCAGTGATAAGTACCAAATAGCACGTAATTTAGTCCTAGAAATTCTTGTCGAATATCTCTAATTATTACCTTCAAAGATCAGTTTATGTTGTATATTATGAAATCTAACATTCACTATAAACTCCCTATTTTGATGGAGTTTTGTTCTCTGAGCTGGATGGTTTGGTCATGGAGCTTTCATCGTTCTTCTGAAAGACATCATCAGCACAAACTTCAGGTAGAAGTCCCTATAGCTAACTATGTAATATTTGCTAACTTTTTTTTATTATTAAAAATGCTATTGTTTTCCATTTACCAAAAAAATGTACTCACATTCAAATGAAAGTTAATTTTGTTTTGTACGATTATTGACAAGTTAATTTGCTTAGTTAACATTCTAAATTAGTTTCTCATTAGTAACAATAATATATTATTATTATTGTATTCTATAGTATAAATTTCATATTATATTTTGCATTTCATAAACTAAAATACTACAATCTCCACAAATCCTCATACTGATAATAATCCTGTACTCACTGATGACTAGCTTCAAGATAGATTTCCTGAAGTTCTAATAAGAGGTCGTGACCAACGGAGTTCAACTGTTGCCAGGTGTGAGACAGTTATCCACCTCAAACAGTGGATGACGGGTTGCGCAAAATCACAGATCGATCGAAGTTAGACATCAACACCGTTGAATGCCGGCTCGGTGGTCTAGAGATTAAGTGTTCGCGTGCGAGATCGAAGGTTCTGAATTGGTGGATGTACATTTTCTAGGAGTCTTAAATTATGACGAAACAGTCGTCCAATGGTTCCAGGTTTTTACTGGTGGTCTAGCTTAGATTGACTCATGAATTTAACTATTCAAATACTACAATCTCCACAAATCCCCATACTGATAATAATACTTAATTGTTAATCATTTCAAACAGGAATGTATGTATTTTTAGTCAAAATAAGGTTTTTTGAAACCTTGTTTTATTATGTGAGTTTTATTTGTCATTAAAAATTAATTTTAGTTAAGGTATCATCAAAAACGAGTAAGTGTTGAACAGTTATTTCGTCTTATTTGGTGTTTCGATCTTAACATATCTGAACTCCAACCATTGACGGCATTTCATTAGAACCCTAGAAACTTAATCAAGCATCGAATTTAAAGTGCAGAAAATGAAATGGTGTTACATAATTTAACAAAGTAATTAAAGATTACCAAGAGATTCGAATTATTGAATCAAATGTTTGTTACATCATTAAGGAAAATAATCAACAACTAACAAGAAATGAAGTTATGTTGTAGTACTTCATTGAAATTATGAACCGATTTAAGTTAGACCACCATTGAGAACCTGAACGCACTTAACGAGCATTTCGTCCTCGTATGAGACGCCTCATCAGCGCGCATCCATGACCCTCAACGCTTAATTCAAACCCAGCACCTTCAGTCTCGTCTACGAACGCTTAACTTTCAGATCGCTGAGACGGCATCCAACTATATTAATGTCTATCTTCAATTAACCCCACGACATCGCGCTACCGTTTTCCATCGTATTCGGTGAATGGACCTCACACCCGACACGGATTAGCTCCATTAGTTACGGCTTCTCATTAGAACTCCAGGAATTTGCTATCAAAGCTACTCATTAGTAAGCACATGAATAGGGTCAGGAATTATGGATCTCTCAAACAAAATTATTCATTTTATGCGTTTAACACTATCGTATTCAATCTATGACTGCAGCAATATAATTTTTCACTATCATTCTAAATATTTTGAACAGTATAGTGAAGTATTTCGATTGATCATCATATATAATATCTGAATTTCGCACAATAACCACTCTACAAGTCATATTCTCTATCCTGATTGGTTCATCCTTAATGTGTATACTTTACCGAATTCTATAGAGATTATTTTTTAATTTAAAGATTGTGTTCTTGATGGATACTTCTTTTAGAGAATCATGTTATTCTTTTTTTAAATTTTAAAACGCTTTTGATACTGTCAAGCTTCAGTGAATCTTAATGTTAACCTTAAAAAACAAAAGAAATACATTTCATTTATTTATGTTGGTTTTATTAAAATGTCTTGCTAAGTTCCTAAATAATGACCATGTTTTTTTGTTTTGTTGCTAACTCTGTTTAATGTATTACGTGACCTTTCAATACATAAATTTACATTAAAATTTAGTTATGGTCGAATAAATTTCATTGTTTTAATGCATATATTAATCGTTTCTTCTCTCTCTCTCTCTCTCTCACACACACACGCATACACTCTGTTCATATTCTTAACAGTGACTACCTTGATAATTGTTTATGTCTTTTTATGTACCTGATTTGTTTACTTTGATATGGTGTCATAAGGATTGCAAATTAAATTGTATCTGATTCAGTTTTGATAACTTGAAGATTGTCTTGTCTAAAAGAAAAAAAAACAAAAGTTAAAAAACAGTGAAAGTTAATATTAATATACATAATAATTGCTGATTGTAAGCAATTAATTTAAGGTTGATATGTAAACTATTGGATTCTGTTTAGTGGTCGGAAGATTAAGTGCTCATTACAAAATTTAAAGGTAACGAATTCAACGCCTAGTGGAGGTTATAGATGCTGACTTTTAAACAGGTTCATACTATTCAGTGTTTTCTGATTTTCAGTAGTTTTCTAAATACAACCACTTCGTTATGTAAACTGTAAAGTTTAAATTGACCATTGTTTCATTTGTTTAGTTTTTTAGTACTGACTGAATTTTATTGGTCAAGTCGTAATATGAATGATAGCCTTAGTGATTAGTTGTCCTATGAACTGTTTTGATTTAAGGTGTTTACAAATAATCCATAGGAAACTTTGGATCTAGTTTTTTGTGATATGTAACACAAGAAATCAGGGGGTATCAACAGTATCCTCCTTACATTAGCATCTCAATCCTTTGTGTATGGTTCGTTACGACCCGTATATTTCAGACGTGTAATGTCTCAAACTGTCACACTATGTGCACTATATCCAGCTCCCATCGACGCAGCGCTCCCCTGAATGTTATGTGCCAGCTAACAAAAGGTCTAGGTTCAGGGTTTCCTCTTGACTACCTATAATCACCGAACTAAGAGAATTGTAAATGTCTAATAATCTAATCTTTCATCAATCAAAGACAATGTCACTGTTCTATTCCATCTTCTTTACTGAGTCTCTACTAACTATATTGCTCTGATAACGATCACATTCAAAGTCTCTTCTCTACTTCTATAATGAAATTTAGTTTCAAACTAACCGTTTTCTTAGGACAATCGACTTTATTATTATTATTATTATTATTATTATTATTATTATTATTATTACTATTGCCACTAGTTTTATCGTCTCATCTATCTTCCTCATTAAAACTAATGATTTTATTGTTTTCTTATTTTACAGGTATCATTATGGTATCAAAAAGCTGGTACAGCTAATTTACACTTTTTTCCAGCTCCATGTTATCCTTTCGGTCAATCAAATAATGATTTATCTGATAAAGATCCATTACGTAAACCAATATTTTTACCTATTAATAATAATGTATTAATTGAAGTAGCTAAAAATTTCTATAATCAATCACAAAATGAGAATAATTCATTGATACATGAAAATTCTCTTTTGAATATGAAAGATTTATTGAATTATTTATTTCCTGGTAAGTATTACTTATTATTGTTCTTCTCCTTCTTCAGTCAATGTTTCACGAATACTTTCTGTTTAAATGTTAGCTAATATGTAACAGTTAGTTGAAAGGATGCTAGGAATGGTGGAGAAAATTTGTAGCTCAGGTGGATGATTTTGATGAAGTTTTGTTCGCTGAGCTGGATGGTTTGATCATGGAGCTTTTATCGTTCTTCTGAAAGACATAATCGGTACAAACTTCAGGCAGAAGTTCCACAACTAAACCATCCAGCTCAGAGAACAAAACTTCATCAAGATGCTAGGGACACATAACCAAATCAAATTGTGGTATCAGTTCATAGAATCATTATCTGTTAATCTGAATCATGTTAATAGATACCAACTACCTGGTTGAGATCCGCATACTAACCTTAATCAGCGATTGATGACATTAAATGATATAACTTAGAAACTAGTTACTATAGTACAAGTTCATGTATCGAGTTCCTTTTCTGACTCCACCCCTCATTGTGGGAAGGCAGTATCGCTGTTATGCTGGATTGTCTGAAGGAAACGCCTTACTGCCATCAAACCTCCGTACAATCAGCAGTACGTCTTCGCCTTCAGATCTTTGGTTTGTTGCTTTTAGTCTTACCATTCTTCAACAGACTTGTCTGACATGGTAGGACCTAGAGGAACGACTGTTCCATCCAGTATAACTCGATTGGTGCATCACAATATGCAAGCCCAACCACCACGTCAAGGTGGAAACAACGGTCGGGTTAATGTTATATAATTAATATTCTGTTTCGTCAATTTGTATAGTTTAGTTAATAATTTTGTATGTAGTACCGTTTAAAGACAATCTTCTTCACAAATTGCAGTTCAATGAAGTTAGTTGTCATGTTCACACTAGTGACTAGCTTTGGGAGGAAATTTCCGGAGTTCTAGAGCGATGTCGTGATCAGTGAAACTAAGCCGTGTTGGATGTGAAGCCCTTATACAAAAAATAAGTTTTTAATCAAAATTACATAATAAAAGTTCAGACTTGGAAGACTAAAGAACACATGTGTGGTTAAAAGAGATCTGAATAAAGGTTAAAATACACAACAGGGTGAAGTAACAAATAAATGACAATACTGTCCAACAAAAATACATTGGAGACATTTTCAGCGTTTTCTTTCTGTTACAATCAATTTCAACTTAGAACCTGTATGCATATACATCGGTTCAAGTTATCATATACCATTATCACAGAGCGATGAAGTTTTTTAGGCCAAAACAAACTCGACTACATAAAGTTTATATATTTAGCAAATAAAAGATCAATTCTATACTGGACGTGGCTGCATGGAGCAGATATTCGAACTACATCAGGTCCCAGAACATAGACACACATTCAGACGCCCTATAATAGTAGTATTTCTCGACCTTAAGGCGGCATTTGACTCTGTTGGTCGTGATGTCTTATGGCAGTGTTTATCACTGAAAAGAGTACCGAAGAAGTACATTAACCTTATAAAGGCTCTCTACTCGAACACAACTGGTCGAGTGAGAGCTTATGGCGAATTGTCATCAGAATTGATTACCTTAAGTGGTGTTCGTCAGGGCTGTCCACTCTCTCCATTCTTGTTTAACTTTGTTGTTGACGTTCTTTTAGAGATGACACTTTCCTCATCTAAATTTCCAGGAGTTGAACTTTTACCGGGAGATTCACTTGTTGAATCCGAAGATGCTGATGACATAGATATATTTTGTGAAGACGCTGACAAAATTCAGAGTCTTGTGAACACTCTAAGTATGTTCGGGATGCGATTCTATCTATCGAAATACAAAATGTTACTTCAGAATTGGGTTGCATAGACACCTGAACTAATGATAGGGAGTGAAGTAGTTGAGCGTGTCGACCACTTCACTTATCTTGTGAGCCTCGTTAGCTCTTGTGGTTTGGTGTGTGACGAAATCTCAACACGGATACAGAATGCCCGACTAGCTTTTGCCAACCTGTGTCATTTATGGCGTCTACCAACGAAAGAACGAGTTTACTGTTCAGCAGTTCGTTCGGTTGTATCTTATGGCTGTGAAACGTGGTCGGTAAGAGTAGAGGATATTCGTACGTTACTAGTATTCGATCATATGTGTCTTCGTGAGATGACCGAGTAAGTAATGCAGTAGTTAGGAAACGGGTACTAACTAGGTAAGGATAGCAAATGAATTGATGAATTAGTGAAACTTCATCATTTGAGATTGCTGTGACATGTGTTACGTATGCCCAACCACTGACTGCCCCGACGTGCAATGTTTTATGGTGTAGGAGTAGGTTGGAAGAAAGCTAGGGACGGCCATACCAAAACATGGCACAAATCCATCTGCTCCCAGTCCAGACGCTCAGAACGATGGGCGGAACACTATAAGGGGCAGTTTAGCTGGTCTTCAGCTACTCTACAACTACCCACCATTCCCAGACAGTGTGAATGGAACATTGAAGTAGGTCCCCCATCTCTAACTGAAGTTCAAAAGGCTATAGCTAATCTGAAACGAGGAAGGGCAGCTGGTCCAGATGGATTGGCCCCAGAGTTCTTTAGGGATGGTGGTCTAGTTTTAGCGATTAGGTTGACTAATATTTTAGCTAAAATCTGGGAGTTAGACGTTATCCCATCTAACTGGTCACAATCACTTATCGTCCCAATATATAAGAGAGGGTCAAAATCATCCCGTGACAACCACAGAGGGATTAGTTTGACTAATATAGTATCTAAAATACTAGCCTCAATAATTTTTGGACGCCTAACTAAGACTCGTGAACTGCAAACACGTGAAAATCAGGCTGGCTTCAGACCTGGTCGTGGATGCATCGACCACATATTCACCATTCGTCAGGTTCTAGAACACAGGCGTACTTATCGGCGTCCGACAATAGTGGTCTTCCTTGATTTAAAAGCAGCGTTTGACTCTGTTGACCGAGAGGTTCTGTGGCAGTGTCTGTCATTGAAAGGCGTACCTCAGAAGTACATAAACCTTGTGAAAGCTCTTTACTCGAACACTACTAGTCGAGTCAGAGCTTATAGCGAACTGTCATCTGCTTTTGCAACCTCAAGTGGTGGTGTCCGTTAGGGCTGTCCACTTTCTCCTTTTTTGTTTAACTTTATCATAGACCTACTGATGGAAATAACGTTCTCGTTGACTGAATTCTCGGGTATTGATCTCCTACCATGAGGTCCACTTATCGACTTAGAATACGCAGATGACATAGTCTTATTTGGTGGAGACGCTGATAAAATGTATAGTCCTTTGGTGACACTGAGTAACAATTCCAGGATGTTTGGGATGCGTTTCTCCCTCTAAATGCAAGTTGTTGCTCCAGGACTGGTCTGCGTCAACACTTGAACTAAGGATAGGGAGTGAAGTAACCGAACTCGTCGATACCTCCACTTATCTCGAAAGTCTGATCAGCCCTAATGAGTTAGTGTCTGACGAAATCTCTGCACAAATTCAAAAAGTTCGTTTGACTTTTGCCAACTTATATGACCTATTGCGAAGGCGAGATATCCGTCTATCAATTAAGGGACAAGTATACTGCGCAGAAGTTCGTTCTGTTTTACTTTACGTCTGCGAAACATGGCCATTAAGAGTAGAAGATACTTGTAAGCTACTAGTATTTGACCACAGATATCTTAGAAATGTTTCCAACATCTGCTTGGATCACCGAGTAAGTAATAGTGAGTTAGACGCAGGGTATTAGGGAATGATGGTAAATCAGTTGATGAGGTTGTGAATCTTCGGCTGAGATGGTTGAGTCACGGGTTACGTATGCCTGAACATCACCACGAAGCGCAATGCTGACTAGTGTTGGAGACGGTTGAAAGTTAGGGACGGCCAAACCAAAACGTGATATCAGTGCTTGAAGTCACCAATTTCTGGTCTCTGTCTTCCTTAAATGAAGAGATTAAAATCGCTTCAATCTATCTTTCTATGAACTAATTCTTTCTTCCTGTACTATCTCCTTATACACAATCTTTCTTCGATATATTACCACCACTGAATTAACTACTCCTATGAATCCTGTGTTCATCTTGTTGTGCTAATGCGGTATGGCAACTTGGACCGATGCATATACGTGCCTGGTCCTACGTTGCAGCTGACTGACTGATGTAGGTACGTACGTATGAAGTTCTATGTTGTTGCTGACCGATTGACACAGTTTTTTCAGGCTATATTTTTAATGTTTAGACTTTCTGATTATTACTGTATTGTGAGGATCTTGCTAATCCTTATTTATTCTAGGCATGTACATTATTCGTGACTATCTAATCTGCTTTAATGGAAAAAATTTCACATTTTTAATTCTACTTTTGCATTGAAATTTTTCTATTTTAAATGGAGAACAAAGTGTTTGTTTATTTAATATTTGGGTAATTATAATCAATTTCGGTAGAAAAATCTGAATTCAGTGATATGAAGCATTTAATTTATCTTAAAAATTACGTTAAATACATCCTACTGTAATTTAATAATCTAATTCATGTGTCAATTGAAGCTAGACCATCATGAAATATCTGAAAGCACTGGACAACCATTTCGTCCTATTGTGGGACTCTTTAGCAGTGCGCATTTACGATCTGGCCTCGGGAGATTCGAATACAGGACTTACTAATCTCGCGCACGAACGCTGAACCTCTAGACCACTGAGCTGGTCGGTATCCGACGGTGTTCATGTCTAACTTCAACTAATTCTATTATGTTGATGCAGTTCAGTCTTAAAACAACATTTTACACTTATATAAAGAGAAATGGATCCCAAACATCCTTGGGTGTGTTATTCATAATGTTCAAAAGACTACATTTTATTAACATCTTCATCAATTAAAATTTTATCATCTGTATAAGTTATGTTGATAAATATATGTTATGGTAAGAAATTAATTCCTGAAAATTTAGAGATGTGAAATATTACTTATAGAATGACATTTATGATGAAATTAAATCAAATGAAAGCAGCCACCAGCTCTGTAGACTACGTGGTTGGGATCCGTGAGATGATCTCAACCGATGGTTAGAGTCCTTAAATAACATGGCTCATAATTGTTTACAATGGCGCAGGTACATCCACTCTTTGTATTCTCCCAAATTCTAATCTTCTGAATTCTTCATGTCCCATTTTTATCTTTCCAAAATCATTTCACTGGATTATATTCCTTCAATAACATCTTCAAACCCTAATGTTTCCGATTAGTGCTTGAACTTTTCCTACCTGTACGACAATGGGATTTGAATCGACAATTGTATCTGTGTGCTAATGTGGTATGACAACTTGAACTGATGTAGGTACGTACGTATGAAGTTCTACGTTGTTGTTGACTGACTGATGAAACCGTATCTGATGTATTTACAGTTGAGATAATAGTTTGTCATAATCTCTGATTCAGTCATTAGTGTTTTAATAAAAGTCCTTCATTTAGTTTACATACCATTTTGCTTCATATCCGACGCCAAACACTACTATTATAACCTGTCAATCAGCTAAGTTGAAAGTTTAGAGCATTATTATCCGAAATACATAAAATTGCCTCAATTTTTTCTCAATAATTTCTGTCTAATCTTTTATTTACAAGAAATAAAGTTTTTGATGGAGTTTTGTTCTCTGAGCTGGATGGTTTGGTCGTGGAGCTTTCATCGTTCTTCTAAACGATAGAAGTCTATCGATCTAAAGTTTGTGCTGATGATGTCGTTCAGAAGAATGATGAAAGCTCCACGACCAAACCGCCCAGCTCAGAGAACAAAACTCCATCAAAATTATCCACCTGAGCTACAAATCTTCTCCATCATCTCAAGAAACAAAGTGTTTGTTTATATGTATATTTGTCTGTTTGTGTTTATTATGTCTGCCGAAATTTCACATATTTGGATTGACCAATCCGATAATTCGATCATGGAATTCGGGTTTCTTTTTTCGAACTTCTTAATATTGTTTCGAACGTTTCCCTCTTGCTTTTAAATGTTTGTTTCGTTATCTTGCATGAATGATTGACTGTTAAGATAACTTTCATTGTTAGTATAGACTACCTTCAACTTGAGAAGAAGTTATATTCGCCTAGTTTGAGACTTCTGTGCACCTGCAACCCTGCCAGTGATCGGAACGCCAAGATTTTTAAGCCAATGAGTTATAATCCGGTAAACCCAATTAATTTGTGAAGTACAATGACAATTAGTGAGTATCATTGGTGATATCTGTCTTACTCCAGATGGGATTGATCTACATCAGTTATTCATCTAACTGGAGCATTGGATATTGATCTTGAAGTTAATCTATAGTATATGAGCACATGATTTTATCCGTTCGTCTATTGAAGTCAGTCCGTCTCGAAAGTAATCTTAGCACTATACAAACAAAGTAACATTTCTAACAGTTACAGTAATGGGAAAAAGGCACTATTAAACTATTTGAACATATTAGATTACAATTCTAATGTTCATACGTTTACCTTAGTTTGTTATTAGAGTAGTTCATCTAAAATACATTTAACTCTATTGAAACAACAAATAGTTATTACCTGAAAATACTAATAATCAATAATATCATCACAAAAAAGTGGACTTATGTTTCTTTTCGTACTTTCAAAATGTGTTACAGATATTCCACATTCAGAACGCCTAACCTGCATTCTATTCTTTCAAGATTCCATACTTAGAAGGTTAGTGTATATTGGTCTTTTGAATTTGTGTGTTTTCTTAATAATTTTTTTTTTTTTGGTTTCACTTAAACAGAGAAATTATTCATATGTTGATATGTTACGCTGTTTGAAGTACTCGACATTAGATAAATAGGTCGAATGTTCGGATCCTGTTCCACAGAATTCGGTTTAAACAGCTTGGTAGTAATACTGTCCATCACACAATACGGCTCAAAGATGAGTATATACACTTATGTGTTTTGATTGATTAGATGGATTGATTTATTTTACACTTTAGAAGGATATTCAGTCACTTGAAAATGGATCTTTCAGGATTCTTCCGTATTAGAGCTATGACAAAAACCCTATATGTGTTCAAAAACACGTAGGCCTATGTAACTAAATCTATAGGAGCAGCTAAATTAATAAGTATTCGCAGATGACCCCATCACTAATATTATCTTGTCGTGTTGATCTAATAATAGAAACTTGGGATAATATGCATTTGCGCCATGATCTACATTCATTATGACTGACTGACAACGACAGTTTGTATACATACTGACTAAGTACATCTACCACTCATCTGAAATTTATAAAAAGTGACAATTACGTGATATGTAGAGTTAACATGTATCATACTTCAAATAATTGTCATTCCATTTTGAATTTATTACATTAGTAAATATAGTAGTTGGTAACCCCCCCCCAAAAAAAACAACAGAAAATCTTTAATATCGATCTTAACTATGATCCTTAAAATTGACTTCAATACAAGTCTCATTGGAAGTATTAGTTTCTTTAAGATTGAGGTTTTTATGATAAATGTTAGAAATTACGAAACCTAGATTCAGGACATCTTTATTAATTGTATCCAAGTATCGAAAATTAGCTATAGTGTAGCTTATTGTCATATCATCTAGTTCATATATCACATATCCACTGTTTCAATCTTTATATTCATAGATTTGGCTTTATTAACGACAGTTGTGTTAAAGATCGTTTAGACTATGAAGTACATGGTCGATTGGCTTTCGGTTCTTCTTGTTTTTCACAAAAACAATGGGTTTATGTACATTGCAGTGGAGGTATATTTACCATGATACCTTCATATGAAAGTGGAGAAGTTCAAGGCGAAAATATGACAAGAAACTGCTCTGTCATTACTGAGCCTTCAGGAAGTCGAAAATCTGAAGTAAAAAAATGTTATGAGTTTTTTTTAAGAATTAACATTCCTAATAACTACCTTCTGATTTATTTAGTGTTATTTTAATCTGTCGCACCACATTTCATCAATTCCTCATTTAATATACTGGTTAACGTTTTTTTAGCGAGTTAGTTTTCTACGGGATAGGACCGCTAACCCCATGCCCAACCCTCCTCCTTTATGCGGGCTTGGGACCGGCAGTTTCCCCAGAGGGGCTCCAGGCGGAGTTTATTTAATATACTAGTTGGGGTATAATCCTTGAAGTATGCGTTGTGATTCCAGACCCTTAATTTACTTCTAGCTAATGACAATACTGTCGACATTGTTTCAATAATTGAATAGAAATATAGGCCGGAATGTGTTAACTTACATCGACAATACCATCTGTAGGATTTCTACTTGCAAATCAGTGATACAATGTACAATGATATTTCGACTACAGTACTGTACAATATGTAAAAATAAATTTGAATAGTGTAAAAAGAAATACCTAATATTGATCATTTTATGTAATATTCAGTTTAGGGGTTGTAGATATTGTTAATATTGCCAGGTTGTATTGAGTACTAGTAACTTAAGGACTTTAAGATTGGACCTAGAATTCTTAATACAGATTAGGTAAGGTATTTTGTTATATCTTAAATGATTCCTCCGATATCTTTTTCTTTTGATATGGATCTTGTAAATCACCGAGTACCTTTTTTCATGAAATTCAGCGGATAGTGAATAGATAGTGGTGTAATAAAAAGTATTAGTTTATAGTAAGTCAGATTTGTCCAAGTTTAATAATATTTATCTACTAACCATTCATTGGAAAACATTTTTGTCCTGGCTGTTTTTAATTTAAGATAAAGTTTGGGATTATACTCTTTGAATAATATCTTCACACCCTAATCTTTCCGATTACTGATGTACGTAGGTACGAAGTTCTTCGTTGTTGATGACTGACTGTTGTTGAGATTGTTAAGTTTTTGATTGAGATCATGAATCGACTGATGTTAGACCACCGTTGAAAACCTGGAATCACTAGATGGCTGCTTCGTCCTAGTATCGGACTCCTCAGCAGTTTGCATCCACCGTCGCGCTTTGCGAGATTAGAACTAAAGTTCCTGGGTTCGAATCTCACGAGGCAGGATCGTGGATGTGCAATGCTGAGGAGTCCACAACGGGACGAAACGGCCTTCCAGCTTTTCTATGAGTGTCTAGCTTCAATCGATTCATGATCTGAACTATTAAAATAAAAATAAAATCCTTATTGAAAATCACATTAACACACTAAGTGAAGAGAAGAAAAAGATGCTCAAAAATGTTAGTTATCGCACATATATTAAACATTAAAAAAAAGATAGTTATCCTCAATCTTTTTCCCAAGATTATATTATAGATTAATAAGTAATATTGTTAAATACCTTATAAAGTTTTCTGGTTAGCATGTTTTTAGCGAGTTAGTTTTCTATGGGATGGGATCGCTAACCGCATGCCAAACCCTCCTCCTTTACCCGGGATCGGAACCGGCAGTAACTCTAGAAGAGCTATTGGCGGAGTGTTACAAAGTTTTACAATCTAATAATTACTTTGATTTATAATAAGTCAAAGCTGTTGTATTTTTATGTGTTTCGATTTCATAGGAATCTGATCATAATATTGATCATTTAAAAGATGATTATAAACGAACAATAAATATGGATACATCATGGATATCATCAGATTGTACTGCTAATTGTTTCGCAATACAAAAATCTATAGGTTATTTTTGGACATGGAATCATATGTTACCAAAACGTTGGCGTGGTCATCTTACAGGTGATGAATTATTTCAAGATGGTATGTTAGCTGATTTTAGAGCATTTCTTAATGGAGAAGATCATCGTTTATATGAATTGTTCAATCGCTTTTTGAAAACCTTATTTACCAATAATAATAATAATCAGTCTATGTAAGGCAATCAGTGCAATATGTACACAGATCATTTCATCTACAATTTGGATTGATATGTAGATTATTTTTCTTAGGCAACAAGAAACAATCACGATTTGATCTCGATATATTTTATTATATTTTACAAATAAAGAATATTTCATATAAACATCTTGTCTTGTTTTCTTATGAAAATGTTATCGATAAGTAGCTAATGCTTAAATAAGAAATTAACAGTTTAGACTATGAGTCAGTAAGGTCTGGATGGCCAAGTGCATACAACCACTGACAGGGAAGTCCTACTCACTGCCTTTTCGCGGCATTATTGTTGCTTACGAAATTAAAAAAACGAAAAGCAAATGTCCGGCGCTTTAACCGTGTTGGTGGACACAGAGTTCATCTAGGAAAGTTAGAAAACCCTGATTCAAAATCAATGGTATACATGGGCTCCAGTATCCTGAGGGAACAAATGGGGTATGAACCAATCTTTGGTCACTGGCTACCATGGGACTCCATCTCCTGACGTTGCTCTACTGCCTTGTGGATTAGACCTTTAAGTCAAAGGCTCTGGATGTGGCTCCCTTAGAAAATCACCTGCTTCGGTTTGGGCACCCGGACAGTATCCCAGCCCTCACACAAATCGAATGATTTATGTGACTCGTATCTATTTGGTTCCTCCTTGTACCAATGTTTATATGTTTATATAAATAAATAAAAATAAATCTGAATGTTCAAATTTCAGATTTCTTTTCGTACTGCTACATAGTATGAATAATGTTATATGAATAATTATTTCTATTGTTTAAATGAATCAGCATAAATCATTCAATCATTATCTCTTTCTATTATGGTTAATGAGAATTTCATCTATGGAGTTGTGTTTCCAATCCACCATAATTCTTCACAATTACAGGTTGCGCTAAATTATGACATTCCTCAGAGATGTAAAGTACAAAAGGAAGAAGTTATCGTATGCCTCGATCATCATCTACTCTATGTCATAATAAATTGGAAATAGACTAGGAATGATCAGATAAAGAGAGAACATTTAAAGTAGAATCTTTTGGTGAAGTTGGATAACAAAATAGATTGTTTTGTTTTAACTGCTTTGATTTTATATCATTATCATAAATCACGAGTTTAGTATCATTCCATACATTTAATGATGTGATCCGATTTGTTCCTTTTGAAATTAATTTCGTTTATTCGGTTTTCCACTATAACTGACATTATCAGTATTAATATTACTACTTATTTTATGCTTCTTGTTAATTTCTCATTCATTTGTACTGATTTAAATTGTAACGACTTGGATATATATATATATATATATATATATATATATATATATATATATATATATATATATATATATATATATATATATATATATATACGATTTTATTTATTATGATATTTATTTATTTATTTATTTGTACACATAAATATTGGTACAGAGGGGCACCAAATATATATGCGCCACACAAAACAATGATAATTTGAAGAGAAGGAGGAAATAGAAAAAAAAAAACGTGGGGAATTATAAAAAAAAAGGGAGAGAGAGAGAACAATGGTGGGGGAAACGGAAAGGTACAATCAGAAGAGATCTTTCAGTTATGGAAGATATAAACACTTTTTATGAAGAGAGTAAGAGGTTACAGCACGATCGCCACTGGCTTCTATTCCGAGCCATATCTGATAACGTCTCTAGCCACTGCGTTACACCGTCTCTCGGACCCCAACCAGGGAGTCGTGAAGGACCAACAGAAGCTAGCCCTTTGCAGCTTTCTTTCATACCACGACACCATGTCATATACTGACCACCTCTCCGCTTTTTCCAACCAGTCCCAGAGTCGGCAAATAATGCACGACGTGGAATTCTCTGGGACGACATTCGTAGAACATGTTCAAGCCACCGAAGTCGGTGTTTCAAGATGGTGACACCAATTTCATTATCGTCTCTGTGACTGAACACACGATGCCGAACCTCTGCATTACTGACATGGTGTTGCCACTGGATGCCAGCAATCCTTCGGAGACAACGATGATCGAACACAGAGAGTCGTCTAACATCCTCAACTCGGAGAGGCCAGGTTTCACAAGCATAGAGCAAAACTGCTCTCACCGTCGCGTTGTAGATCCGACCTTTTACAGCCAGACTAACATCACGAAGGCGCCAAAGATGACCCAGATTGGCATAAGCCGCTCTGGCTTTCACTATACGAGCATTGATCTCATCACTCACACCACCACCAGCACTTATGCAGCTACCTAGATACACGAACTTCTCGACTACTTCAATCTGCTCACCATCCAGAGTGAGTACAGGATTAGAATCCTGCCAGTCTTGTAGAAGTACTTTGCACTTCGAAGGTGCAAAGCACATACCATACCTACGGACATTGATTGCCAACTGATTAAGTGCGGATTGCATAGCTTGGGCATTCTCGCACAGTAAGACAATATCATCCGCATACTCAAGGTCGAGAAGTCTTTCTCCAGGCAACGGATCCACACCACCATTACTTACATCCGTCAGAGCTGTTTCCAGAATGTCATCGATGGCAAAGTTGAAGAGGAATGGTGATATTGGGCAACCCTGCCTAACCCCACTGCTCGAATGGAATAACGGAGAAAGGTGGTTGTATGCCCTCACTCTGCCTGAGGTGTTTGTGTATAGGGCTTTTAGGATGTTAATAAACTTCTCAGGCACACCCTTCTTCAATAGACAATCCCAGAGAACAGTTCTGTCCAACGGATCGAAGGCAGCCCTGATATCAAGAAACACTACGATTGTTGGCCTTTGATAAGTATGGCGGTGTTCTAACACTTGGCGGAGGGTGAAGATATGATCAATACATCCTCGACCAGAACGAAACCCAGCCTGCTCCTCGCGAGTCAATCCTTCTCGGGTCCTGAACAACCTACGAAGTATGACGGAAGCCAATAGCTTGGACGCAATCGGAAGTAGACTTATCCCCCGATAGTTGTTACAGGAACAACGTGAACCCTTTTTAAAGATAGGGACAACTATCGACTCATTCCATGACGTTGGTACACTCTCTAGTTCCCAGATCTTTGTAAACAACGTCGTCAGTCCCTTAGTCAAAAAGTCACCACCATCTTTAAAAAGAGCCGGAGGTAAGTCGTCTGGGCCCGGTGATTTGTAACGTTTCAAGAGTTGGAGTTCCTTGCGGACTTCCGCCTCATTTGGTGGATCAGTCGCCACCGGCCATGGAGGGCAGGACAGTCTGACCGATGTTTCCGGAGCAGCAGGCCAGTTGAACTGCCCTTCAAAGAATTCTGCCCATCGTCCAAGACGTCGATGGATGTTAGTGATTGGCGTTCCGTCATCCTCGCAGATTGTTTCGCTCACACCAGACTTCTTGCTGCCAGTGGCTCGGATGAGTTGGAAGAGCTTCCGGTAATTACCAGATGCAGCTGCTGCTTCCAACTCACTGGCACGCTCCGACCACCAAGCTTCTCGGTCCTTACGCAAGCTTTGCCCGATTTCATTGCGTAACATCCTTCGTCTGTGGTCAAACTCACGGTCACCCGGAGTAGACCGACGGGCTTCAATCAGTTGTAAGGAACCAGAAGAAAACCAGTGCTTGTAAGCGGGACGTTTCGCAAACCCACAACAGACTGTACCAACCATTTTCATGGCGTCATGCAATTGCAACCAATGCTCATCTATACTTTTCGGTGGAATGGTAGCTAGCCTAGAAGCTAGCTCGGTTCGGTACTTACTAGCAACAGAAGTTGCAGCCAGCTTGCTAACATCAATCCTTTGGTGGCGGTCACTTCGTTGTCCACTGAAAAGTAAGGTAAGATTGGCGCAGACCAGAGCATGATCAGATTCCAGATAGGTACTCCAAAAGGAGTGGCAGTCTTGTACACAACCGCGCCAGCGGTAGCTGATCGCGATGTGATCAATCTGAGTCCAGGCTTGAGATGCAGAAGGAGGACGCCAGGTGGCACATCGGCGATGACTGTGCCGAAAGTTAGTGCTAGCCAGAAACAGGTTGTGGTCTGTGCATAATTGCAGTAGACGTTCCCCGTTATCTGTCCTGCGACCAACGAGTCCCCATCGGCCACCTAAACGACTCTCTTCTGTGCCTAGACGCCCGACCTGAGCATTCAAGTCTCCAGCTAGTACTACAATATCTGTCAAACGCACTTTCTGGAGAAGAACAGTTAGCTGATGGTAGAACTCGTCCTTGGTTGCATCCGGGCTGCAATCTGTCGGGGCATAGGCGGAGATGACGAAAAGACATCGTTTCTCACGCCTATTTCTTCTCACTTTGATGGAACTTTCTAATCTAACAGCACATAACCGACTGTTAATGGGGATCCAGTCGACTAGTGCTGCCTCAGCTCTTGCGCTTAGTGCGACACCAACGCCAGCAAGACCAGACGAAGATGCCACAGGGTCCCCGGATAAACGCACATAAAACAAGCTTTTTGAAGTGACAGATGGAGAGCGAACTTGTAGTACTTCACCAGAGTCTTGAATACGGGTCTCGGATAGACAACACACATCAATATTAAGACTTTCCAAAGACATAGCCAGTCCTATCTGTTGTCCGACCTGCATAAGTGTGCGAACGTTGAAGGTAGCCAGTTTGAATGGTGCACGTGGTTTCAGAAAAACTGCTTCAGTACTCTTATTCGGTGGTAACATACAATTTTCAACCAGGCAGTGACTCGGGAACGTTTAGATAAAGCTGAATTTTCACCATAGGTGAGCTGCTGTCTAGGTCGAAACGCATATATAAAGTAGGAATAAGAGAGGGTGAATAAATGACGTGGTAAAATAATAATAATAATAATAATAATAATAATAATAACAATAATAATAATAATAGTACGAGTTATTTCAATGTTAATCAGATAGAAAGGAATATTTTCCATCCAGTGCTCCTAGGTTCTCAATGGTGGTTAAACTATTGATCCATTCATGATACCACTCTAAACTCAACAATCTCCACAACCTTTTACTGATGGCCATTTATTCTTTTTA